GGTGGTATCTGTTTCCCCATGCGGCATATCATGCTGCATATGATGTTCAAATGGCGCTGCAGGTTCTAGATTCGAGTTGTATTATTCCACAAGATTCAAATGCAGCAACAACAAAAAATGTCTTGACGAGAATGCTTCGGTCTCATCAGTTCCCATTCTCCTCAAATGTTTGTGTTGGGTCCGTTTATCGGGAAATATATGGTAACATTTGAAATAGTTATGGTTTGGCTCTATCGAAGTATCTAAACATCTTTGAGTCAAAGTAAGGATTTGTCAACTTCACAGTAATAATCGTTGTTATTTTGATGGTGAGATGTAGAAATACACTCGATTTAATAATCTGGTATGATAGTATGGAAGTCATAATTTCCTCAACCTTCTCTATGGAGTCTTAGAAGCACACACCATAAAGGTCCATATCCTTTGCAATGAATGTGTCAGAGGCAAATTAAAATGGTTCCTGTTCGAATGATTTCTGGTATGTTTACTACTAGCAGTGCTTCCCTCTAGGGTATCACTTTAATTTGGTCTAGAAGCGAGCGATGAACCGTAATAATCGTCACTTGTTGCAGCCTTTGCACAGTAAACACCGACTCGACCTTAGGTCATCAATGTTGCTGGATCGTGAGTAATGGAGCTGATTGCCAGTACGTTAACACTATAGATCAAACCCAAGAGTAATCGTATGTGACAGGGGCAAAGATATTTCTGAGGCTTTGCCATTTCCTATGCATATAGGTAGACATTTATTTTCCTGTCGTGTTACATTGCTATCATTGCGTAACCTATCACCTTAATGTTCAGCACATTAAACACAAAGTCAGGTAGTGGAAGAACTCTGAGTCAGCGACATGAATTTTGATCTAATCACCATGGAGACTGACATCTTCGTAATAAAATATTTGTATCGTATACAAGGAATAATGCCAGTTTTTTATCCTTATCTGGAAATATACTTGACTCGGTTTTACGTACACTCATCATGCAAGCTCCTGGTGTTTAAAAGTGGATATGAATTTCATGATCTTATGCTTCTCTCACCATAATGGGTGAGAGAGTTGGGTTTAACGCCGCTTTCAACAGTATTCCAGTTAAATCACAGCGTGGCAGCTTCATTTTGGAGGATCGCCCGAAGGGATGATGGTCTTAGACGTTTGCCACTTTGGTGAAACCAACAAGCACGGGCCTGTTGCTGAAAAACCAAGAAACACCGGTTCGCCCTGTTCATGTTTCTAGCTTTGTCGCCACCATGCACGTGTATGTAGGTTTTACCAAAGTGGTTTATGTCTTAGATCTGCATCACTTTGGACTTTCCACTCACATCAAGCTGGCACACTTTGATATGACTGAAGGACTGTTCAAATTTCCGTTAAACCAAACATACTCACTCGTCATAATAGAACTCTCATGAATGTATGCCACCCATCAAGTTCCTGAAGAGTTCAGACACGTATATCCGTCCATTCCCACACACCATGCACACACTAAGTCTGGTAGTATATATGAAATACTTCTCACACAGTAGGTTAAGCTCACATAGTCGGCGCTCATTAGTAACATTTACACGTTGGTATAAGTGTCTGGAGTGTGACTGAAAGTAATTAGTTATTGCTTGATTGATCTAGGTAAGAACACATGGGTTTGAATGACAGGGTTTGAACTTTCAATGACAGAGCATCACCAGAACGTAGATCAACTTCGAAATGTAGGAAGCTAGAGATCTCGTACTTTTATGGTTTATCCACCTATCTGTAATGGTCTGGTGTAAGTGGCGCGCTCATCTAAACGAGTGTGACTCTGTGCTCCTTATTATTCGTATGTCTAGTAATTTTATGGTTTATCAACCTATCTGTAATGGTCTGGTCTAAGTGGCGCGCTCATCTAAACGAATGTGACTCTGTACTCCTAATTATTCGTATGTCTAGTAATATATTTTTAAAGCATAATCAATCATTTCGCAGTATGTCCATAACATCCTTCAGAGCTTTTTACGACTTCATCAATGACCGCAACGTCAAGATGGTAGTCTAGTTTACGGCTGACAACAAATATCTCATTCCCTGCTCATGCTTGTCAGCGACTTCGCCCTTATCATTCACGTAAGGTCTACGATACCATACAAAGTAAGCTTAGCGTCATATGACCTCAGTTCTTGATATACGCTGGATTCAATTTCGATCAAATTCTAATGAGATTGCAATGACCATTTCCCCCTGAAGACCCTCTACATTGCTGACAAAGCGTTCATTTTGTTGTTTTTTAATCCTCTCTCTCATCATGATAAGAGTCAAAGCAGATCTGACGCAATGAGGGCTCTCGTTAAAAACGCCTGTCGCTTTATTCTGATCGATTACATCTTTTCTTGCTTGGGGCCTTTGTAGGGAGATAGTTGATTTAACCTTCTTGTTTGTGTCTCTGTATGACAAGTCTCAAGAGCAACATTTTCTACATAATGTTTATCATGGCTCGTAGACGGTACTAGGGAGTTGACCGTAGGGATGCAACACGCATATCACAATCGACTGCGCCTCTGAAAAAAAAACAATGCCATCATCTTTGAACTCAAAGGACTTGGATCTCAAAAGAGATAAAACGCTAATGGTGTCTTTTTGAATTCCCTTCAAGTAACGAGTGGTTAAAATTAGCTTGCTATACACTGCGCTTGTCCGAGTAAACGGAGCAGATATATGTTATTGCGTGAATGGAATGAAATGGCATTTGCAAACTTAATTATTAGATTAATAAACTGTTGTTTCTATCTGGTTGATTGGTACGGTTTAGAACATGTTAATCTTTTTATGTCAATAAATGGCACTCTGTGATGAAGGATTTCCTGTCAAGCATATTTTTCGTGACGGTGTGGACGTTGCAACGAATATGTGTTCGGGGTCATTTCATTTCGAAATATTTTATTAGTTAAGTTAAGTTAGCTAGTTAGTTAGATTTTAACGTAGCCTCGGCATTAATTATTTCAGCCATATAGCGAGAAATATTTTATTAGATAATGAATACATGACACATTTTATGGATAGCAACTTCTGTTATTCTCTGTCACGACGGTTCAGAGCTACTTCCTGCTCCTTCTGCAGGCGACGAAAGAGCAAGAAGTAGTTCTGAAACGTCGTGAGAAAGAAAAAAAGAAATTGCTATCCATAAAAAGTGCAATGTATTCATGTTCTTCCGACTTCTAAATACCTAACAAAGACTCTATCATGTAATGGCCTGTAAAATGAGTATTTGTCAGAATAACTGATTTTCGTGTTCAAAATGCGTGCTTTTAATGGTAGCTGTTACAGCCGTTTAGATTACTTTTCTATGTTTTATTATTTGTATATATTGAATGTGTTACATTTACTTTACTGTTTTACCGTCAACACTGACATCATTTTTTATTGACGTAAAGGTCGTCGTCACTATGTGGCTAATGCGTCACCTGCGAAGTGAAACTCCAAATCCTCATGGAAAGCAAAAACAGTATTCTCTCAATCAAGGATAACATATACGACTTCATACGTGGAAATACGTAATCCATACCATAACCCACAGTACACACGTTATGCAAAGATATTATTACAAAATTAGCATCTAATTTCGGTCTAAAATGACAATTTGGCTGTGTTGCATTTATATATATATATACGGACAGTCTGCACCATTAATTGTTCTAACATATCTAGTGTCAGAATCTCATACTTCATAATTATTCAGTCTGTCATGACTGCAATAGCTATATTGTAAATAAAAATATACTGTGTGCATTTGCCAAGGAAGTATTCAATTTTGCATTAGAAAATATTAAAAAGTTTATATGTTCATATTTATTCATTTCTTATTATACCAAGCTTGTAAATGATATATACCACTATATGTGGTTATATTCTAACCTGCACCTGTCGACACGAATTTAATCCAAATAAATGTACGAACGACATGGGGTAAATTAATTTCAGGTAAGTTACACCTCATCACAGATGTCGCGCGGATGGTCAAATGAATGAGATGTATTCCAACAGTACGTGGTAAGAAGATATTTGGGATTGGATTCAAGGAAACATCGCCCAAGATAAATAAGGTTTTGTCAAAATATCAGAAATCACTATTTATCTCGTGGCCATGGTCTTACTGCGATATGCAGTAATTATAAAACAAGCTGATCCTATTTCCACGTCCTTCGCCTTTGGCAGAAATGATCATGAGGCCAAACTGTTTATTCATGGCTATGTTTATTACTCACCTGAAATGTAATGATCGCATTTTGCAGAATGCATTCTTGATGTTAACAACTGTTCATGAAGACATCCACATGGGTACCTCGTTTGTTCGGAGAGGCGTCATGTTACAATATCCGTAGTTGAGATCACATTGTGAATACAGGGCGTCACATAGAGGAGTGTCTACTACTGTCGAAGGCCTTACGCCCGTGTCGTATACTCGGAAATGACAGTTAATTTTATACTCATCAAACACTCGCGATCTTGACTCCATCGGTTCGTCACAATAAGACATATGTCTGGTTATTTACCAGAAACGTATACGTTGGCGAAAGGTAGGATACGTCAGCAGATCTGGTATAATTAACAGTGTCATCTTACATGTGACTTGTATGTTACAAGGACTCCTTTCATTGTATACAGATATACACCTGGTTGTTATAAATACGCTTAGTTAACGGCGTTTGCATGTTTGCAAAGCTATTATTATCATTTTGCTTTGAAGTGTGACAAACAAAACTCCTTAATATTTCATTCAGTATGAGAGGCGGTCGGGTAGCCTAGTGGTTAAAGCGTTCGCTCGTCACGCCGAAGACCCGGGTTCGGTTCCCGACATGGGTACAACGTGTGAAGCCCATTTCTGCTGTCCCCCGCCGTGATATTGCTGGAATATTGCTAAAAGTGGCGTAAAACCATACTCACTCACTCATTCAGTATGATTCGTCAATGGGATATTCTATTTTGATTGGTTTTTATTTTATTGGTCATCAGAATGCTTTGCTTTTTCAGGCAAGGATGGCGTAGGAACACCAGCTTTTCCCAAGTGAAGTTGTGATTGTTGGGTCCAAGACGTCTCTATATTCGTGCCAGAGTATTCCAGAGGTAGTCATGGAGATTACTACAACGGTATTCATTGATGACATTACAACATCAAGTACAACACAAAATGTTCTTTATTCAAACGTCACCTCCAGCTACAACTACAACTACAACAACACTGTTGAAGTGGCTTACGACGCAGATTCTTTTGACGCGTTTGACTACCCTGGAGGGTTTAAACACGTGCCTAGCTGGGAGATAGCACTTAAGACTCTCACGTATATCCCTGTCATCGCTTTCGCCATTGTTGGTAACGTCCTTATCATTCTTGTCGTCGCACGCAACAAGCGCATGCAAACGACAACAAACTATTACATCGTCAATCTGGCCGCTGCAGACCTTTTAGTAGCCGTGTCATGTTCATGGGTGCATCTCGTTGATGACCTTACGGATGGATGGGTCTTAGGGTCATTCTTCTGTAAATTCAACACGTTTGCACAAGGTAAGTCTATCTAATACTTAATTCATTTCATGATTCCAGTTATTTATAATATGATGGAACACTAATATGAATTAATGATCTATATTAAGACGCTGATATCATTGAAAAATATTTATTCATGAAAATATTTTCGTCAATGGAAGTGAGGATATCATGAAATAGATTAATGATATCATCAATTGGTTTATTTGATATCAATAGTTCCTTTCACCTTATCAAAGTTGTCATGATACGCTTAAAGGTTTCGCGAACACCTTGTATCATCTTTATTTGATAGTTATTCATAAACACTTGCTCATGATATAGTCGGGCTACTACAGTCCAGTCTACTTTAAGCAAATAATTCTTATGAATATGGAAAGGGCTTCTATTTATTTTTGTACCTGGATAACTTACTCACTCACTCATCTCAGTTCCATCAGCAGGTTTACACCGTTTGTAGACGAATGATGACATGCTCAATTTAGAATCTTAAACAAAATATTGATTAATGAACACGAGCGTTGTTCATCGGTTTCAGTGGTTTTTCGTTGAACTTGATGTGAACAAAGAGTTGCTATGCAAATTTCAAATACTTTTATGAAAAAATATGTTTCATAAATATATTTTTTCATAAAAGTATTTGAAATTTACTTTTGATATCAATAGTTCCTTTCAATGTTTATTTGGTGATACATTAATCTTTTACATTAATTTTACTCTTCTACATAACGCTAAATATATTGTTTTCATGTATCACAGTTTCTTAAGGGTATCACACATACATAGATGCCCCCAAAATTATATACCATCCAAAAGCACACTTAATTTCATCCATGTGATGATTCGCCGTCGATGAGTAAAGAAACGAGAACTTCGATTGCTGTTAGTGTTTTCTACAGTGTATCAATTAGATTAAATTTAATTCCCCCCGACCATAACTAAAGTACAGTGCAACCACAATTGGAAAACTTTACAGACTCGTGCATGAAAATAGCTTCATTAGACCTTCTGCTTATTTGATCAGAGTCAAATGTGATTGATTGTCCAAGACACTAGAATTTACGTGCGCGTTCGTGTCAAATGCAGACGAAACACCTCGCAATTTGGTGATTTTTCAGCGGAATTCATATCCAGGTCCCGCTATTTTAATGACAGACTTGTGGAGCCCTGACTCGAACAGGAAATTACTGAAGTGCCCAGAATTAAATCATTATTCATTGATGCTAATGTTCCGTCAATAGAAATACTTGTACTTGATCGGTTCACGAATCAATCAAAGGACTTCATCAATGATGTCTTTGTTCTTCGAGGACACTAAAGAACAACAAAGGGATTGACATGTATTTAGCATACATCCTTGAAGATTTTATGCACGAAAATTGCTACTCATGTTAGATGACAAGATGCTTTGGTCCAAGTAGGGACATAAAATGAACCCGATAGTCTTTCATATCAATTCTTTAGCAGTACAAATTTACATTACGTTTCAGCATGAAACACTTGAGTTCCGTGTCAGGGTCTTCGGTTAATTAGGGTGCCGTATTTACCCGAAGGTTGTTAATGTTGGCTTGACCCCCAAGCAGCTTTAATTGGTGACATATGTTATTGGGAATGAAACGCGTGCCAGGTGGTACAAGGCGGCTTACTTCGCTGTGCTGCATTCCGTTGGCGTGCAGTGATCTTGAGTAAGAATCCCAGAATCGCTCTGATTGTTTCTTTTTGATGAAACACATACCGTGCTTGTGTATATCACCAAAGTGGTTAACATCTATGATATGCATCACTTTCCGATTCCTTTCCACAGGCTGTTATATAACTGAAATTCTGTTCCAAGCGACCTAAAACCCAGTTCACTCACTCTCCTGCGATGCTAGAACCGAAAACACATTCATCAATATCTAATCGCAAAATACAATCATCAGGTTCTGTTTAAGTAAAGTACACAATGTTAATTAGGAGATAAACATACTGCGTTTTCAATGTAGAGCTGGGTTACCTGTAGATTTAACCCCGCTAAATTGAATTTGGAACCGAACGCGCAGCGTGAGGTTTCAAATGTTAAATTTAGCGCGGTTAAATCTACAGGTAACCTAGCTCTACATTGAAAACACAGTACAGTCAAGTCTCGTTAATCCGACATCGTTGGTTGCACATGATTGTGTCGGATTAACGAGTATGTCGGATTAACGATGTATGTTTATCTCCATTCTACCATGACAAAATAAAACGCGAACTCTTTGGTGTTAGCAAATATACTGAGTGAAGCGGCATGGGTTGAGTCGAGTGTTTTGATCTGATCGATCTGAATTACGGAATCACCGAACACAATATGGCGCTTTATATACTCAAGCAGTTTGTTTACTCCATAATACTTCACTCGAACATATGACAGGCATTGAAAGCATATAAGCACGGCAACTTGGTAAGCTAACATGAGTTGGGAATCCCTAAAGAAAACAAAGCAAGCTTTGCAAGGCTTTCGCTCTACATCGCACGTCACCATTATGACGTCATATTGTTTATTGTGACGCAATATTTATGACGTCATAGTCGTATATAAAAAAGCGCCAAAATTCCAAGCTCTCTGTTGTCTCCAAAACATAAATACAGTCCCTTTGTAGACTGCTATCATGTTTTTTGCACGAAATGTATTGCCACACATCCTTTGAATATTGTAGTAACCGCATCTGTGCATTTTGTAACCTGTAATTGTAGATATAGTTTTTTTAATTATGCCTACCGACAATGACTGAAAAAAGTACTATTCTACGAATATTAGCTTCCGCGGTGATGCGGCCGTCAAACCAGCTGTTTCAATCAGAGGGGGTTTATTGTGATTTAATAGCCTCTGATTGACCAATCAGAATCGAGTAAATTCCAAATTCATGGTAGAATTGTCTACAACTTTGAGTGAGTGTGTGAGGGAGGGAGGGAGTTTAGTTTGTTGCCTCTTTGAACAAAATGTCGGTTATATCACGGCGTGTCATACTGAAGTGGTCCCGAAGTGATGCAGGTCTTTAGACGTTTACCACATTGATGTAACCCACCACCACGGGGGTAATGCTGACAAACCTGGTAATGTCTGGGCGAATTTGTCTTCAACTATGAATTGAAAAAGGAAATTGGTGATAATTTGCCGTTCAGGTGGACAATAGATAATACTATTCTAAACTTTCGATCGCGACAAGGGTGCGTTGGTTTGGGGCAAATAGACGTGCGTTAAGGCGAGGAATTCTGATAAGATCCCTCGGAGAGATTATATTATTATGTTCATATTGACATATGGCATTGATTTGAAAGACATCGTACAATGCTATGCGCTATCTCATCTTGTGCACAGGGAACTAAAAGTTCGAGTAGGAAAGTGATTCTAACTTATGCATATCAATAGACAACCATGTCATAGTGAACTTTGTATCTATTATATTATACGAATTCGAAGTCGAGATCGGCTCATGCAGGATAATATCTTTATCAGGTAATTGCTACAAAACCCTTTCAATATCACAAACGTTACTGTTCATGCAAATGACCATGCAATCTGGATGTAACGAACTAAATTTGGATGTCCCTTGATGTTCGTCATATGCGGAGTAGACTACAAATGATAATACACTGGTATTGGGGATTGTCACATGGGGATTCCAAGGGTATGATTTAGTTACTACAGGTTGCCCTAGGATCTATGTATGCATGTGCACATTGGAGGTCCAATTGACTGTTTAACCTCGAAATAGCTGCGTTAGTAGGAAAAAAAACTTTTCATATTTATGCCCGTTTTACTGGTATCAGTTAATACCAATAATTATCATAGTTTTAATGGATGGTTCTATTGGTGCGATAAACCAATCCGATAAACATTGTATCACCATCCGATAAATATGCAAATGAGGTACTCAAGCAGGAACTATTTTTTATAAACTCCAAGCATCAAAATGCAAGCATCTACTTGCTCAATGAACTAATGCCTTACTACATACTATATCTATATGATTTTAAATAGTGTTTCTGGATGTTTGGATGTTTCTGTTCACACACATGGCTTCAAACTTAATTGGTACTATATCATAATTTGGGCTGATTAGCTTTGTGATCATTTCATGATATTAATAACACATTGCTGATAGATACTTATATCATGAAATACAATACCGATATCGACTTCGATGCGTGGAAATATGATGTTTACTCCCTGTCATTTGTGGATGATATTCGAAAGATACTTCGAATTAACCTGCTATTTCGAGATTCAATCACATTGTGAGCTTGGACGAATATCATCGATAATGATGCTCTCTCACAATGCCTTCCCCGAGTGGAGACATGGTTGTTCGTCTCGAATATTTTATTTGTGTAAAAGATCACCTAGCTGTGTCATCGATATGGCATCAACAAATCCCAGTTACATTAACGCAGCTTGAACAGTATTTTAGTTATATCACGGCCTTTTAGCTTGTACGAGAAGGCCAAACGTAACGCAGGTCTTTGAAGTGTACAACAATGATGCAACTTCTGCCATCTGAGTTCTCAACAATTGACGAATACTGCACACGACATCCGTACCTTGTCCGTCGCATGAGGATGGTGTGAAGCCATGAAAAATAATTTCAAGATTTTTGCTCAATTAATTTTGCTCACGCAAACTTTCGTTCAAGACAAATTATACGTTCTGTTCTTTCCCGAAAATCACTTGTCAACATCTCACAGCATGTCTTTGCATTAGCAACTGGCTTTCTCGGTCCAAAAATAGACAGGTTTATTGTTATACATCCCAGGCCTCGTTGTCCCCTATTTGAAGTTGCAATAATCCTTCCTCGACGACATATTTAATTGGACAAACCTTTAAGAATGACAGATTTGTGTATATGATATAAACTAAAAACGCTCAAAATAACCATTTCAAAATGACAGGACAGCATCAGATACCAGGAAAGATAATTTAAGCCTGAAAGTCTCGACAATCTGAAAACAGCATTGGTCATCGGCTTAATTTAAAAACATAATTCAAGAAGATAGTTTGCTGTCAGTGAGATGACAACATCATCTGTCTTGTTAAGAAATTGTTGGGTTCGGTTGTAAGGCAAAGCATGGTAGTCACACTGTCTGCTTCCCTGATTGATATTAGCTTTTACTACCCACGACCCCATCTCCGAAGTACAATGGTATGATTTTCATATACGTCTACGACTGTCTGAATTGAACAACCATTTTGCCTGCATCAAAGGTTTGCATCGATTTTGAAATGCTTAAAACGTGTAATATATAGATATATACTCTGCAAATCGTAAATATCTGACGTAGTGTTGCTGATTCCTATACACACTTAATACCAAATTCGTCATTGCTTTGTGTGGAAAAAATATGGTACTGCAGTAATTTGGTAAAAATCGCTGGTTCGCAGGGGAAATCAAACTCAATTAATGTAATATGAACTTACCTTGCTATCAACTAAACGTAAAATCACCTTTCAATCAACGAAACGTGAAATCCCCTTGTAATCAACTAAACGTGAAATCGCAAAAACACAACCAATATGACATGTACGTGCAAATATCTCTTGTTGGGCTATTAAAACGTTGGGTTTTCATTTACATGCCATCACAACCTTTACAACAAGTGAACAGCCTAAACATACCACGACTGACGAAAGCCGAACGCCACAACGCCATCGGTCGGCTGTATACAGGCGAATCCTCTTCGGCCGTAGCCAGGATTTTCAACGTACCGGTAGCACCAAGCACGATTACAACACTGTGGAACCGTTATCAGACACACGGGACAACACGCGACTTTCCCTGGATCAGGTCGACCACGTCTCACTACAAGAGCACAGAGCGCATTCATACGGCTACGTCATTACGTGAAAGAACCCCCACGGCCACCTCTACAACCACGGCAATACCAGGATTGCGTACGATATCAGCGAGGAACCGTTTACGCACTTAAGGTATTCCCTCCAGACGACCAGTTCTAGGGGTCTTTTTGACGGACCTGAATTTTCAGCTGCGACGTCAGTGGTGTCAAGCTCACAGGGTGTGTGGCCACAGCTGAGAAGGAGACACATTTTTTAATGACGAGCTGGAACTTGTTGCAAGTTCAACGGAATTTAACGGCTCAACGTTACAAGGCTGATATTCTTCGGCCACACGTTATTTAAAAAGCGAATGTCATTTTCCAACACAATGTACGGCCTCACACGGCAAGACAGGCAACAGCCTTTTTGAGGAATCACAACATCCAGGTCCTGCCAAGGCCCTCCAGGTATCCAAACGAACTTTTATGGGATGCACTGGATCAACGAATGCGAGCACGTCAGCAACATTCCCCAGGCCACACTAAAGGAAAAGTAACTGTGATTCATATAAAGTTCAATCAAAATGATTTATTCTGAAATAATGCTACTAATACATCTTCTAATAGATATTCATAAAGACACGTGCATGATAATGAACGGCGCACCATTTGGATGTTTGCGTGTTTGCATGGATACTTTGAAAGTTAACAGCACACAGTGATTGTTTAGCCAGCATGTGCTCATAAAACCACTTTCGTTAAAATGTAAATAACGCTTACGCAATGCCATGGCTTGCTGAAATCAATGGGGCAAAACGAAATAGCCAGACATTTTAATGTTCATCAACACATAATATCATCTCTTTGGAGACGTTATCTACAGCAGGGCAACACGCATGACTTGCGTGTGACGTCATGTCAAGAAGACAGCCATATTCGGTTGGTGCATCTATGACCATTTTGTGGCAGAACCTTACATTAGAGTCGATTGTACACCATCTTTCTTTTAGAGTGAAGCGAACCTGGGCCTTCGGCGACACAAGAGAACGCTTTAACTAATAGTCTAACCCACCGCCCCTGGTACTGTGTAACCCCAAGTTCCCATCAAGGCAATAACGTTTTATGTGACTTTTCTCATACTATGCGAGATGAATCTGGCAAGACTATAGTATACTGCTATTATGTTGTATGAAGGTGTTTCTTTTACGAGAGTTACATGGATTTCGAGACAACCCTGTGCCTATATTCGATTCTAAAGAATGAGAAAACATTACAACACACGAGCGTGACTATGGCTTGAAAACCCTGTTAGCAATATTCCAGCAAAATCACAGCAGTGGACACCATGCAGGTACTTCTCACATTGTATGCATGTGGGGAATCACATCCACGCTTTCGAAATTGGTGTGACGAGCGCACGCTTTAACACCTAGCCTAGACTAGTTGAACGGTACATACCACACATAACGTTAACATATAAACAGTTGAAATACTGAACCCAGGTCACTCACTGTTAAGTTGAACGTTTTATCGATGTGTGGTTGACACATGTAAGGCATTTGAAATAGTTCATTCATTTCATGATGCTGTTTCACAAAGCTGCCAGCACCTCAAGCGGGAATTTGTGAATGCACACTGACCCACTTTGTTTCTTTGGACAGTTTGAATACACCATTTAATTATTTGAAATAGTTATCTTAGAAAAAAAAAATATCTTAATGTAGGGAGTCGTAGCGATGAGACAGATCCCTTGTTTCATACACGCGTATGGAACACTAACAGACTTACTTACAGTTTAAATGGCCGGAATTATATCAACCAAACGATGTACAATACATGTATCTCCAATATAAAAACTAGTACATTGTGTACACAAGATCATCATTTGGACACTGTGCAATACTTACTGTCCCTGTTACAAAACTCAGTGCATATTTTTCGGATATTTATTTAAACTCGACACAATGAACATGTTTGCATTAAAATCAGTTAAATGATCCTGCGAGCATAATACTTTTGTTGTAAATACAAAACCTGGTTGTTTAATTGAATATGTAGAGTGACTTTAGAATAAATGGTCTTTAAGAACAAGCTATAGCATTGTTGCATAAACATAGATGCATACACATGGACACGCAACCACACAAGCGCGCGCGCACGCACACACACACACACACACACACACAAACGAAAACACACACACACACACACACACACACACACACACACATACATACATACATACATAAATACATACATACATACATGACATGACACGTTAAATGAAACCTTCTCTCAACGATATTCTGAGATAGCAAACCTCACGTGACCTATGCCAATTGCACTGTTACCCTCAGTGTGATAATTATGGATAGGGTCAATATCATGGATCCGCTATTTCATATTCATTTTCTTATTTCGCTTCACAATGTTTTTCTTCCACCTTTTAGCTTTTAATCAGCGTTATAACATCACTGGAATTGATATAAAATGATGCATCTCTAATCCTGTATGCGAAAAGTCCTCAGGAGATCTAGATGTGCGATCGAGGCATGAAGAACATAATACTAATGCTATAATCTAACGTAGAGTTACCGAACGTTCTTTATTCTTCTTCAATCAATTCTTTCATTTGCTTTATTCTAGGAAACCTTTTACTGACATTATTCCGGCCTTGAACATTAAACGACAATGATTAAAAATCATTACATAAATGTAGTCTTCCAAAAGAATAACATCATCCCTGAAAGGGTTCTTGATGAATCAGCATTATGCTTCAATGCATCCATTGATTATTAACAAACATGTCTTTGTATATTCTTACGATGATGCACCGTGATGACTGGACTAGAAGATTATCTACGTTCGCCAGACATTTAATTTTTTAATGATGTTTTTGCGTGTTAAAGTCCGTCCTCCTGAATCATATTCGTTCGTCACAGTCGGGGACACCGATGGCCCAGTGGTCTAAGGCACCGTAAATTGCTGTGCAGGGCTGATCGTGGGTTCGAGTTCCAGATTCGTATCAATTATGATCCTTGGTTTGACATACCCATGATGCGTGCTCGTGAGTTTGTATGATCACGAAGTTGGTTTAACGTCACATTGGTCTGAAATGCTGTGATATTACGGAAATTCATTTTAAAATTGCATTTAACCAACTCACTCACATTGTTTTTGTGTCTTTAACTTATCCTTTGTGTTTAACCTGATTTGTTTTACACATCAACCGCTTCAACTTGATTTAAATACTTTACAAAAACGCTTGATTACTGAAAAAAGAAACTTTCTTTACTTCACTGTGTGAGTGAGTGAGTTGGAATTTACGCCGCTTTGAAAAGTATTCCTGATATTTCACGTCGTTTCAGCTTACACGTGAGGAAAGCCCGAAGTTTTTCATGCCTTAAACGTTTACCCCTTTGATGAATCCCCGAGCACGGGTATGGTGCTGATAAACCTAGAAACATTATCGGTACGAACGGGATTTGAACGCACAGTCATTGGTTTCTCGCGTACCCAAGGGACACAACTCTGCACAGCGAATTGCGACGCCTGAGACGACTAGTCCACACGTACCGCTTCTTAATAAGAAAATACATGCCCGTACATGGACATTTGCTTCGTTTGCTTTCCAATTCCTGTCCATTTAGCTATGTTGATATATAACTTAAATAAGATACTTGGTTTAGACTTCTTTTAATAGGGGCACGGGTGGCCCAGTTGTCTAAAGTGGTAAACGTCTGAGACCTGCATCACTTCGGGCTTTCCTCCCATATTAAGCTGGCACGCCGTGATACAACTAGAATTCTGTTAAAAGCGACTGTTAAACCCAAGTCACTCACTTGTTTTATCGTATATTTGAGCAGAAAGAAACAAATAATTTCCATATATATATATTCAAACCTACCTTTCACTTTGCAGCGTTCAAGAAAAGGGCCGCTGAAATATTCAGATTCAGCTACCATTTTTCTGATAACTTTTCTGAAAACTTTTGGAAAACGATACACTGAAATGCTATTATTTGTAAAATCCCACCACTAACTCGCTTTTTCCTTTTTATTACAGTGCTCTCCCTTGTCGCCAGCATATTCACCTTGACCTTCATATCATGTGACCGGTTTTTTGGGATTGTGTTCGCTATGAAAGCTCATTTCATAGAACGGCGAGCCCGATATACCATCGTGGCCTTATGGGTGTGCTCTTTGGCAATTGCTGTGCCCATGCTTATATACAGAGTTCAAGAGGAGAGGGCATGGCGAAACCACGTGGAAAAATGGTGTGACGATGACTGGCCAGTGGTGGAGTGGAAAGATCCAGTTTCAAACTCAACAATGAGCGACATTCCAGCCAGGAAGATATACTACACCATCGTGTGTGTTGTGTTGTTTTTCTTGCCATGTATATTGATGTCGGCTGCATATGCCGTCATAATTTGGACGCTTTGGTCCGCAAAGGTCCCCGGCGAGAGGATTAGCAAGGACATCAGGCTTCAGACACAGCTTAAGAAAAGGGTAAGTGGGATCCAACTCCTCTCTGAATAAACCTTTCATTATATGATACCGCAAAGAACGATGGACGCTGTCTTTATACGTGTTAAGTGCAGGATTTGGGCAGCTTGTTGTATCATCGTTGTTTTATAATTAACACGCCTGTGTCACAACGAATATGTTCCATCATCGTGTATCTATTACAAATAGATCCATGTTTTTCACCCTGTCGCGCGAAAGCACTACGCATAAACTATTCTCACGGATAAGCATTGGATCGAAAGCCAGTTTAAACAATATTTTCTCTATTTATCCCCAATAGGTGTTTTGTATTCCAAGGTGAATTAGCTCCACAGAGTTGTCACTTTGGCAGCACGAGGTAGGATAAGAGCATTTTTGGACTGCTAGAGATGTCAAATTGATAGTTTGTGGAATTTAAATCATTTAAATATTTGTATTAAATTTTCAGATATGTTCAACTAACATCTTTTTCTTTCTCACGCTTGCACGTTTTTAACTACATGATCAGACAGAGGTTTCGAGACAATGAGTGAAAAAGGCCAAAGGTTTTAACTTGAAGAGACAATCTTGCTTTTAAGCTATTCTTTGACTGAACAAGAATTGTGTAACATATGTTTGTTCCGTATTTACCTACGTCTTCTAGGAAATTCTGCTTGTGTCAAAGACTTGCTCATGTTCAAATAATTAGAAAAAAATTTCATTCAAATCTTTATATCAACCTTTTGACGCGTTTTATCTATACCTATACATTTAGGGAGGTACTAAGTCCAAAACAAGCATTTGTTGAAATTTACAAAGGCTAATTCGCATTGATAATTATGACAATATCTGATTAGGTCCATAACAATTTCTAAATGTGTTTTTATCATTCTTTAATCATGCAGATCATGTAGACCAATAGATACCATATTATTTCTTGAATTATTACCACGTTATGCAAACGTGTTACAGTATATGCGTGGGCGGTGGGGTAGCCTAGTGATTTAAGCGTTTGCTCGTCCGGGTACAATGTTTGGAGCCCATTTCTGGTTTCCCCGCCGTGATGTTGCTTGAATATTGCTAAAAGCGACGTAAAACCATACTCACTCACTACAGTATACGCCATGGGTTCGTATATCTTTTTCAGTTTTCTGTCCTCAAGGTTAAGAGATGGACATTTAGAAATTCCATATTCCAGCTTTTTTATTCTTGTTTTGAAAGATCAAAAACTCAAAATTATTCCTCTAATTCAGCTGACCACAATTGATTTTGTGAAATTGAAACCTCAAAACCTCCTTGGGACTTCAGTTTTCTTAAGTCGGAGTATTGAATTCAGAATCACGAAAGCCCTTTTCAAAATGATGTAGATTTTGAGGTCTTTTGTTGTCAGATGACAGATGCCATCACAGCTTTCATGTTGTGCCACAAACGTGAATGAATGTCGTTAAAGTAGAAATACATACTTACAAAGGCGCTGCTGTCTTGAAATGGCTCAACTAATCGTGAATTTCAAATTATTACATGAACAACAGAATGTTCGGTTTTGAGCTTTTAATCTTTCAAAATCCGAAACCCGAATTACGGGAACGTATTTGATTTTTTTTATCTTTCAAAACAATAGATTAAATGCTGGTGTGCACAATAAATGTTGTTCTTTCGAGAGCGATATTGACTTTTTGAGCTTTCCATCTTTTATATGCTTTAGTGATTAAGACTGAAAGCTGAAAGATGTCCACAAACACACTGACACCTTGCATATCCTTGTCGGGAGAAATATATTACAAATATTGGATCCAATAGCCAATGCAGTAAAAAAGATTCAAAAAGAATCTTATTAACATTATGAACAATGTGCAGGATTTAGTCTTGATCTGACTGAATTGTCATCACAACCTCTCTTAGTCCAAAGTTGCCTTCTCCATAACAACAACATGATCCTATTCTACACACTTATCAGCTTATGTGAGTAATAATAACAACGTAGTTGTAATCACGGTGGCTGTCAATAGATTGTAAGCTAAACACGTTTATTACATAATTCCAAAGCAATATCCAAATATTGCCGATGCGTCATTAAATATTAAATCAAGCTCTTAATCTAAACAACAACATTTCAGTGTTAGAGATATTCAATGCTTGTAATTGGCATATGGAAAAGCCATCATGTAATGAAAGCGAGCACTGCAAATTTTTAATTATCAAAGATGACACTGGGTGTTTATATTGTGACAGAGAACCGAGTATGCATTCCCAATTCGCCTTTTAATTTTGTGAGCATGTTTACTGGTAGTTGCGTCGCATGTCATTGGGAATGTCAGTCACAGAGACACTTTTTAGGTTTATCAGAAAAATACCTTTTCAGGCGTTTTAATAAATCACGGGAACTTCATAATTTATTGAGCAAGTTTGATGTAGACAAAGAAAGTACAGACATATGGCACCAAGTCATCTTGGATCATAGACTTGCCAATTGTTACATTTTCTTATACAATTTGGCTTTTTCACTGAGTTAAACCATATAGAATTAACCTGTCAATATCCCTCAACATGCAAGTGTAACAACCAAAAAGTCTATAGCCCTCGCCACTGAAACAGATTATTAATCAACGAAGATGCATGTGTTCTAATACTTGAAGTGAAAACAAGCCATTCCGGCGTTAAGGATTATTACTTGGAGTAAAATATTACGGATAAAAATTACAAAGTGCGCTTTTAAAAAAATAACCTTTGTGTTGGCGATAAATATCATCAACGGTAGAACAAAAAGTAATTAAGAGTTTGTTTGTTGCCTGATGCCACACATCAGTACTCCTGTCATATGTCAAATGAACGAGGCAACACAAACGACCATTTACAACCTGTACGATCAAATACAAATAACACCGGGTGTTCTTGGTTTGTGGTTCTTGCTTGACTTGTTGACCTGAAGGTGTGGCAGCCGTTTCAAGTCATACGAGGGCAGGGCAAAAAGTTCTAAGCCTTACTAACTTTCAAACATAACAAAGTGAACTGGTCCATGTAGTACATTCTTTTAGTAGTGCTATGCAAGCGTATTTGGTTTGTTGAGGCCGTTTGTATATTAGTGACAGCATTTGAACGTGAGATGAGTCCAAATGGACACAGAAATGGAAAAGAACGAGTACCGAGCAGTCATCAAGTTTTTGACTTCAGAGAAAAGTACTCCTCAAAAAATTGATGACCCAGGTCACAAGTGTATGAGTATAAGTGCCCTAGCTATTTCACTGTTAAACGTTGGGCAGCTATGTTTAAGACTGGGGGAACAACACCTTGATGATGCCCCTAGGTCTGGACGTCCTTCAACGTCCATTAAATGAAGATTCAATCAAGGAGATAGAAAAACTTATACTGTCAGATAGACGTATTACCATTGCTGAACTTGAGGAAGATACAGGTCTAATCAGTGGATCCATTGAAACTATTATTTATGAACATTTACAGTAGATTAAGTTATCTGCTCATTGGGTGACAAAGTTTCTAATTTCTGATCTTTAGGAAAAAAGAAATGACATTGAGATTCGTTAGAGCTAATTGAGGAGACTTTCGTCAAATTCAAAATGAGATTAGTAACGGGTGATGAAACATGGGTCTTCAAATATGACGCAGTGTCAAAACGTCAATCCATACAATGACACAATTCCACTTCCTCGTCACCAAAGACACTCAAGTCTTCAAGATCAGTGAAGAAGGTTATGGCCACTGTATTCTGGGATGCAAAGAGTGTGATCATTGTTGATTACTTTTAAGTCAAACGACGATTACCGGAGCCTACTTAGCTGAATTGCTTAATCGCCTGAGAGATTCTATCCTAAAAAAGCGGCGAGGGAGGATAACTGCTTGAGTTCTACTACTTCATGACAATACCTTTTTCTCACACCTCTCGACTTGCAAAGGCTACTCTTTTACAATGTTGGTTCGAAGAGCTTTCTCACCATCCATACTCGCCATATCTGGCACCAAGTGATTTCCACATGTTTTCTAAACAGAAAGAATACTTTCTTGGAAGCACTATAACAACAACCATGACCACAAAGCTGCCGTGAATGGGTTTTTAGGGTGGCTTCAGAAAACCTCTTCCTGACTTGAATTGAAAAGCTTCCCTATCGATGTGAGATGTGTATTGAAAAGATTATGTTGAAAAACAAATATTGAAAAATAAAATTAAAAACAATTTCACAATTGTAGGTTTTGTTTGTAAGTTTTAGAACGTTTTAACCAGCCCTTGTACATATCGCAATCTCTGCTAAACGCACTCTCATTGTACGACTATATCATGAGCTTATAAATCGCTATCAAGTAGTGATGATACCAGGTGTTCGCGAAAAGGTGAGCGAAATACAATCCTGTCCCACTGGTCGCACCTGTCACGAACACATGCAAAGGCAAGACAGTTGTTTACCTGGAATATATGGTACACTGAGAAAAAAGGAAATTGCCTCAGACATAAATTTTTATCATCGATACGTCAAATTTGGAAATGTCAACAACTTTGAATAGAACCTTTTTAATAATTAATCATGGATTAACCAAGATCTTTTTACGAGTGTTATCACACACTTTACCTCCAATGCCCGTTCACCTATTTCTTTATAATTAGGTTATGCCACCAAAAGATTCTTCAGGATGACATTTATTTCATTTTGTTAGTCTTTGGGCGAGTTTAATGATATTATGAGACGGCATTAACAACATGTATTGATAGCAGACCAAAATAATGTTAGTTTTGATACCGAATCTTAACATGAAATCCACCAGGAAAAGAAGGGTCAACGTGCAAATGTCAGTAAAGTGTTCGGATCAGTCGATGTAATTGGAGCCTCAACGATTTCCCGATCGTTATGCTGTTTAATATAATCTCTTCAGGGATCAATTGTAACATTAGCAAGTGCACTTAATGACTGATTATTTTACTCGACATCAATTTGTATGGAAACTAATTATCAATCGATATGCAGGCATGTGCATGAGGTACAATTTAAAGTCACATCGGCAGTATTACATGCATATGGTGACTATGATATGTAAGCAATCTTACTTTGCTTGGCCTACTTTGGATGTCTTTTGCATCGATGTTGTCTAAACTATATATAAGATGCCATTTGCAAAAAATAAGAATTTTGTTCATTAAAAGGCCAACTATCATACGTTTGTTTGCAGCTTGGTTGAAGTATATCATTTCCTACTGCTACTGTGTATGTGTCAGTGAGTGTGATCGGTTTTACGCCGCTTTGAATAGAATTCAAGTTTTTGACAGCGTGTCAGCTTCGTGAGGGAGGTAGGGGACGCAGGTCTCAGATTTTTACCACTTTGGTGAAACCCAAGAGCACGGGAATGGTGCTGACAAGCCTAGAAACATAATCAGGGAGAACCGGGATTCGAACCCACTGTCACAGGTTTCTGGTGTGTCCAAGGGACGCAACTCTGCATAGCGAATGACAACGCCTTAAAAGACTGGGCCAACTGCTCCTCCTACATTGTGTGTGAGATTGTGACTAGATTCATATGTGTTCATATGTGTTTACAACGGCCTGTAAATACCTAAGCGTGGGCAAGACAAACCAGTGATTGATAAAATGAGCAACGATCAACACGACGTAACATGATGCAACCATCCAATCTTCACTTTAGTCGGCCCAACAACAGGCATACGAGAAAAAAGGATCTATGATTATCCAGCGCCGGAATCCTAAAGATGGCCTGCATAGTGTGCTTAAATCCATTAGCATCCCAGATGTTTTAACTTTACCTAATTAACCTCAACCATCAACGCAAACATAAACACATCGTATTCGTTGTGGTTATCATGTTTGCAGACCATCTGTCGAATGACACCAGCATTACTATCGAATTTTCCAATAACATTTGCAATTCCGTCGCTAATAGAACTGCAAGAGGCTGTTTGTCAGCTCAATGTTGCTTTATGAAAGACAAACATTGTCGAAAAATCCATTTGCAGTGACAGAAAAGTGATATGTTTTTGGCATGTACTTTCATTCCAAGAAGTCGTGTTATGTATTGGTCTGGAAAGATTGTCTAAGGACTAAACGAAAAAAGAAGAAAACCGTAAACGACTTGTCGAAGAAACATATTGCTTTATATATTTCTTATAAATTTCCAATATATTTTTCTTTGGCTCATGCACTGATATGCTAACGTGCCAACGTCATTGAAGTTAAGCTATCTGTAATGCCACTGTCAAATTGGCAGGTGAGGCCTGGATTATTTTTTCATTTCAGGCTTAGGTCAAATAAACGATGTCTTTATGGAATTAGTTTTTTCAGATTGTATTCTTTGGGGACGTGCCAACCATAAACCGAAGGAGAGTGGGATAAAAAGACATCTTGTTTCTGTAACCGCAAACAAATCATAACTTTAATCATATGCAATTGTTGCACAACAAAGTGTATGGGGACATTGCATGTGAACCTTTTATTGACGTGCATATAATAAATAACAGCCAGTATGGAAATGTCAATAAAATAAACTATTTTTTTAACATACACGTATATACAGCCTTATGTTAAATGTTGCATGTGGCAGTGCCAATAGTCTTGTTCTTGTTCTAGGCTGTGCCAAGACAGGCTGTATCACTTGCATGTCTTTATTAGTGGCAACCCATCTTTTTGCTAAAGAGGGATATGAAAGGTTTTTAAAAAACAGACTACACTTCTTTAATCTAACAACAGCTATTAAATACTCTCCACAAACGTAGGGGACATTACAAAATAACAGCGGATTGCATAAATACAAATAAAAGGACAATGTGTAACATGACAATCAACAGAACCTGTTGGTCGTGTATTGTAAGGATGCAGACAACGAAGAAAGACGAAAGGGGTGTGCTGTCAAACATTCAGTCATACGGCGTGGCATTGTCCGAATCAATCTCACAATGACAATTTGAGGGAGTCTTGTCCTATCCTCTCACGTTGCAAGTGGCCTTTGTCGTCCGCGTATACGTCTCCCGATCATGTTCAAGACGTGCTCTATGGGGGATAGGTCAGGACTCACGGATGATTATTGCATTCTGGTGATGTGTTTCTACTATTGGAGGTAGTCAGTAACGATACGTGTTCGGTGGACACGAGCGTTGCCGTCTTGAAAGACAAAACGTGGACCAGCATGGCGCGCAAACGGCACAACTGTTGGCGCTGATATGCTGTCTCGTTAGTATTGTCCACTGATCCTTCCATATTCAATATGAAGTACCGTTCTGGCAGTCTGTGACTCCACGTCATTACAGACCTTCTCCAAAAGGTCATGTTGCCTTACGTTGACTTTCGCATGACGTTCGTCACGACGCCTCCATACACGTCCACGCCCATGCAGAAAGTGTGAATCTGAACTCATCTGAAAACCTTACACGAGACACGGTACTGGTTATTCCCCTAAGTTTCTAAGCTCTAATCAGCATTGGCGCCTGGCTTGACTGTACTGATTTGATAACGGTGGAACAACACGTGGTCGCCGAGCAGACATATCAGCTGCATCTAATGAGTTTATATATTCGCTTTACATTAGATACGTGCCTCGGTATTTATCAATGGCTTGGTTGGAATTATATTTTGTGGATGAGATATAAACAGAAAAGGGGCGGTGGGGTATCCTAGTGGTTGAAAGTGTTCGCTCATAACGCCGTAAAACCGGGTTCGATTCCTCATATTGATACAGTTTATGATGTTCATTAATATGTGTATCGTCCATAGTGATGTAACTGAACCATAGTTAATAGCGATGTTACCCTAACGTACTCGTAAAATTTGAGCACATGTTAAGCACGAACATTCATTTTCATCAATCTGTCAGGCTTCCAATGGTATGGGTTCCTCTGCTCCTTGTTCTGGAACGTCTGAATCCTTACACACTGTATAATATGGCTTCACGTATCATTTGGCAAGTTGCTATTATGTGCATGCTCAACATAGGGGTAAGGTGAAATAGGGTTAACTCACATTTTTTTTTTCACAATTTTTGCGCTTATCTAGCGAGGTGCAAACACATGTTTGTATATGAGGTTGTTTGTACTTATCCAGGCTACTGGCGGTTCTAATTATATAAGGAGCACTGAGGTACCATACCGCAGTTTACCACATATACCCCACTCAGACACGTTATATTGACTCCCGACCGACCAGACCATGTTTTATTCTTTTAATGACGCAGATGTTTATTGGTATGACGAGGTCAGGGTATCGAACCACCGACCTCCAGCTCTACGGGAAGTCCATCTATCCACAACGACATCTATCCACCATTGCTGTGATAGTACCAAGATGATACACTTATACAAACCGTGCGGATGATTGCTAAAACCCCCCATGCTACAGGGCAGTGTGAGGGGGCGATCTCGGGAACTTGGAAGGACATGTGGAATTGATCGACTACAAGACAGGCATTGAAATAGCTTCAGTTCATTTCCTACTTCTAAGATATGGGTCGTCCTTTCGGTAGTTAATCATTTCACATTACGTGACTAGATTAAATATTGCATATTCATATTCAAATATAATGAGAATATTGCATCAAGCTGATAATGCATTACCTCACACAGCTGACTGCATTAAGGTGCAATATCTACTTCATAAGGGAAAATGTACCAACAAGGACGTTTTAATTCTACCCTGTACAATCGGATGACGCGTTGAATAGGACAGCGCCAAGATGTTCGTGAGCTTAAATAGATCTGAACATTTCGCGACAAGAATCCACGTCACGCAACGCATATCCTGCCGGTAACCGGTATGAAAAAATGCCTGTTGTCGGGATGAATGGTGATGTGTGTTTAGCTAATATTTCACAACCAAAGCAGTTCTTTACGTTCGTATAAGTCCCTTAGCAGGCTGAGTGCATAAACCACATATACTGCTATCAGAAAATGCACAGTGCATAGACTATATATGTAGAAACACAAATGCTATGTCAAGTCAACGCTTAAAACCAAGATCACCCACTCGAAAGTGTGCATGCTCCTTAACTTCCTTCGTTGAATGAAGTGTTTGAATTAAATTGCCATTGGTATATTGATAGTGGGTAAGTGGTACACGGGTCGGGTGGTAGCGGTAGTGGTGGTAATGGTTGTGGTGAGAGGCTGAGATGGGGGGATATCATTTATGTAATGTTTAGTAATGGATAAAGCTTTTTTATAACAACTGGCACGTTAGACTTTTAAACATTTGTACTGCTGAAGTATTACTTAACGTGTTAAATAAAAGAGACCAGTAAACGGCAACATCTGTTTCATATTTAGATCAATGCATACAAATTAAGATTGACACAAAACTATCAACAGGACTGTATGACAAGAGGGATGACTTTACCTTTAGAAAATAGTCAGCTCTTACTTTATGTCGAGCAATATTCCAGCCGCTCCAGTTTTTGGTTTCTACACTTCACACTGTTGGGGTATAGGTCAAGCGTTCAAGGGCTAAGTAAAGCTTTGATAGATTCTTTATGATAGATATGTGGAGGATATTTCCAAATTTGACGTATCAGGGACCAAAATGATGTCCGATGCAATTCTCAATTTTGGCTTGTATTATATGTTCGTGTGTTTGTTCAGGTGAACCATTGATTTGCCTTTGCGTGTGTTTGTGACAGTGCCACCGGTGGGGCAGTACATGCTCACCTTTTACACCTGGTATCCTCACTATTTGACAACGATTCATTAACGTATGATATGGTCGGAATCGTACTGCTTTTAACAGAGATTTCTAATGATTATGGCAAGCGTTCTTTTGCTTTTATTTCACATTTACTGGATTCCGATGTACATGACTTGAAACGGCCATCACACTTTTAGGGCTACGCGTGGATCAAGAACAACTAATCCAGAATATCTGATGTTTTTTGGTGTTGTCACGGTTTGATAGTGATGCATAAATCCAGGCTTATGATATAGTCTGAATTGTGTAAGGTATAAATATGATTATGGAAAGGATTTTGTCGGTTTTATTTGTGTATTAAAAGCTTCCTTTTGTACTTTAAAGATCATCTTGATGCTGGTGCTGCTGCTGGTGACATTCATCATCTGCTGGGGACCGCTTGTGGGCATCCTGATGTATTCTGAGTACAGAGAAGACAAACTATCCACGGTAATTACCTTATCTGTAATGAACATCTTCGCGATACAACTTCTCACCCACTCATAGCGGAGATTTACATAATTGAATGGCGGCGTCTCGGATTCAGTAATCTCTTCTGGTGCCTAACCACGATCCGATTGTGTTACACGAGTCTTTGATTATAGTTCTTCGTTTCCATTTAAACAGATAATTCTAAAGGTATACATTGTTACTGGCGCGTGTGACACCTTATATACTCAAACGCAAAAGAAACGCAAGTCTAGTATGCAGTATACATGTTATTTATTTTCAACAGTAAAGACAAGAAATACTAATAGGACAAGATTGACAAAAGTTTGACTGAAGACAGTTTAATGGATTAAAAGGCAGATTATATAATTGGTTTTTTTTTCAAATGTTAAGGGCTTACACAGTTTCGGGTCAATACCCAAAATGTCAGTCAATACCTGGTGTGACCACCATGAGCATTGATCACTGCCACACATCTCCTGTACATTGAGTGGATCAGACGATTTGTGAAGGCCCTAGGGATCCTCCTGCACACACCCAGAGCAGCTGTGCGTAGTTCATCGGCAGTTGTAGGGACTGGGCGCACATTGTGCAGACGCCTTTGAACCTCATCCCATAAGTGTTCGATGAGGTTCAGATCAGGGCTGAGGGCTGACCCGGTAGAACACGGATGTTGTGTTGTTGCAGAAAGGCCATAGTAGCTCTGGCAACATGGGGACGAACGTTGTCCTGCTGGAAAATGTGTTGTGCAAAAAATGGAACAACGTGGGGTCTGATCACTTGGTCGACAAAAAAGAAGAAGAGAAACGCAAGTGGTTTTAAGCAAATAGGTAACAAACACGGAACCATAAATTGATACGAGTTTTAGCATGTAGTGAAGCCTCATGGTGTTATTAATATTTTTGGTTGCATTTTGGAAGCCCCGAGTAAAATCGCAACATAAAAAACGAATCACCAAAACGCACCATTTCAATGAATATGTGGGTATCATGCACCCATTTCTCGCGAAATCGAAAATGCACGAACTGTCACGGACTGTAGTGGGTATAAAACTGTGGCCGATTCATGGACCTACCACTCCTTGGTCAACAATGCCACACCTAACTCAAATATAGAGAAACCAGGCTATCGGACGTTTGGAAGCTGGAGAGTCTGTCCAAGATGTTGCCCGTCATTTCAACGTTAACATAATCACAATTTACCGTCTCCTGAATCGATACAATGCTACACAGGCCACAGATGACCTTCCTCGGAGCGGTCGTCCTAGGGTCACCACACCTCGACAAGATCGGCAGATTACCCGTCAATACCAGCGACATCCGCTCCTAACTGCAAGTGAAAGTGCTCGACAGACAGGAACACATAATCGACACATTAGCCGGGACACTGTGATCCGACGTCTCCGTTCCAACAACCTCAGATGTCGCCGACCAGCACGTCGTCCTGTTCTCCAACCACGGCATCGACAAGCTCGACTTCAGTGGGCACAGGGTCATCACAATTGGCGTCATCGTGAGTGGAGGCGTGTCATCTTCTCTGATGAAAGTCGCTTTTGTGTCTCCCATGCAGACGGAAGAGTCAGAATTTGGCGGCGTCGAGGTGATCGTTTCGCTGACAGAAACGTTGTGGAAAGGGATCCATGGGATGGACCTAGCGTCATGATATGGGCAGGGATTTGACTTAATGCGAGACTTCGACCCATGTGCTTTCTGAATGTTGGTCAAGGTCGGGGACACGGCGTCACTGCTCTGCGGTATATCGCCTTAGTGATCAGACCCCACGTTGTTCCATTTTTTGCACAACATCAACAACACATTTTCCAGCAGGACAACGCTCGTCCCCATGTTGCCCGAGCTACTATGGCCTTTCTGCAACAACACAACATCCGTTTTCTACCGTGGTCAGCCCTCAGCCTTGATCTGAACCTCATCGAACACTTATGGGATGAGGTTCAAAGGCGTCTGCACAATGTGCGCCCAGTGCCTACAACTGCCGATGAACTACGCACAGCTGCTCTGGATGTGTGCAGGAGGATCCCTAGGGCCTTCACAAATCGCCTGATCCACTCAATGTACAGGAGATGTGTGGCAGTGATCAATGCTCATGGTGGTCACACCAGGTATTGACTGACATTTTGGGTATTGACCCGAAACTGTGTAAGCCCTTAACATTTGAGAAAAAAACCAATTATATAATCTGCCTTTTAATCCATTAAACTGTCTTCAGACAAATTTTTGTCAATCTTGTCCTATTAGTATTTCTTGTCTTTACTGTTGAAAATAAATAACATGTATACTGCATACTCGACTTGCGTTTCATTTGCGTGTAAGTATATATATATATATATATATATATATATATATATATATGTGTGTGTGTATGTTTATATATATATTTATAGGTGTGTGTGTGTGTGTGTGTGTGTGTGTGTGTGTGTGTCCACCTCCCTCATAGTATCGTGTGCATAAACTGTGCTATCTGATCGGTAATAAACAAACATTTGTCCCAGGAATAAAGTTATCTTATTTTAAAAATATACATCTAAAAACTAAAATATTAAAATCAAAACGGAGCCCAGAACACGTTAGTCCCCGATTTAAAGTTATCATACTTAAACATATATGTCTACAAAATAAACATAATAAAATCCAAAAGGAGCTTAGAACAGTTTTTAATTAAAGTGGAGGCCATCTAGACTTGCACAATCATTCTAAAATTGAGCTGCACTCCATTTTTAATAAAATTCTCTAAGGTCTGGGAGACAGACTAAATCGTTAACTGTATTCCCATTTATCAAAAGGAAAGGAGAAATCTTTACTAATCTGACTAACCCTATACCTATCTCTTTGTAAGTTCATCACAAGCTCTACTACGAGTACATGTATATTCAGCGATACCCCTCAATCAGTCAGAGCTCTGTCAGTCGGGAAACCACGTCAACTGGATACGTACAGATTTGAAAGTCATGCGTTTGGGGACACTACGTAATCACGATAGGTAAATATTAACACCTTCACTGCATCAATCGGATTAACAGGGTTTCATCGCACATCCCTTGAATCCGGAAGCTCAACTTTCCGGACGATAACTGACTGGAGAGTCCACATGTTTTTGTTCATCCAGAATTTTCACTCAGAACAAATTTGTCCGGTTTAACACTGTTTAGCATACCATATTTTGTTGTTTAACGCCGCAATGAGCAATATTTAAGGTATATGACGCCGGGCTGTAAGTCATAAAAATCTGAACAAGACAACCCAGTGATCGATATTGTGAGCAACGATCTACGCCGTCGGGGTACGAGAACGAGCTGACAACCAAGTCACTGAGAGTGACCAACCGATCCATTTGATCGCCTCTTACGACCAGCATCGGTAGACCTGTGGACCTATTCTAACACGGAATTTCTACGGGGGCCATGTTTTGTGTATCTGGAGTGAGTGAGTGAGTGAGTGGGTGAGTGAATGATTGAGCAGTGTTTAACGCCGCTGTAAACAGTATATCACATTTAATAATATCACTGCGAGTCAGATTAATGTGTCGGGGCCTGACGAGGTGACACGGGCCTCAGACGATTACCACTTTGATGAATCATACGGACACGGGTATAAACTTAGGAACATAAACAGAATCTTGGATTGGATCTTATGATCACAGGTTCTGACACGTCTGAGGGACTCAACTCAACACAGCGAAATGTGGCGCCACAGGCGACTGGCCCACCAGTGCCACCTTATGCATATGTGGCGTGACTTACCATGGCAATAGGGATTGTGCAGCAAGCTCCGCAGTCACTTTCAGTGGTGAAGAAAAACACAAAACACACCGGCAGGGCATTTTTGTCGGCACAAGCCGCATTCCTAGCGATCTTCAGTCGAGTAAACAGTTATCTCCGACAAGCAATCATAATGATTATGTTGTTGAAAAACTTGGGCAAAGGTAACTGACAGTTGCTTCTGTTTCTCAGTTGTGATCTCTATTTTAGTAGAGTAGTCAATGTATGTTCAATACCGAGACTTGGGGACTGTGATTTTGTGGTCAAAGGCTGTCTAGAGTTGTGAACAGATTCTGGATCTGAAGGCAGTGGATACAAATCACAGATACGCTCCGGCCCGCCAGTGGGTTTTACCATTACCTGCTGTCATACCGTGACGTAACAGAAACACTGTTAAAAGCACTTTTAACCAAAATTCGCAGCCCCTAGAAAAGATGTAAAGGTTTAAGACGCACCAGCCTTTAAATCATGGTTGTATTGCACGAATGGTGTTAACCGCGTGCCTTATTTCAAAGATAGAATTAACCTTGTAGTTTACAAACGGTTATGCACGTACGGTTCTCATATGGTAAAAGCCAGCTGATTGTCTTACCCTAACCCCAGACGAATCAAATATTGAACACCAGGAGACACTTGTGCCAACCTCGCTCTTCGTGTAATTTCCCCAGTCACATGTACCGAGGCTCTGAGTTACTGTACATGACGCTGAAAGGACGTTCTTCTTGTTGACGATTTATTCGTCCAATCTGAAAAAAGTTGGACTGTGATTTAGTTGAGTCATACATTACTATTCTACAAACTAGTGTTTCGTTGTAAACCACATTGACATTGATTGCAATATTTAAAATAATACATTCCTTGTATACTTCTGTTTAAATGGCGGTGAGAGAGTCTAGTGGTAAAAGCGTTTGCTCGCCTCACCAAAGGTCCGGGTTCGAGTTCCCTTATGGGTACAATGTGTGAAGCCCATTTCTGGTGTCCCCTGCCATGATATATGCTGGAATAATGTTAAAAGCGGCGTAAAACAATACTCACTCTGTTTAAACATATTCCGGCCGGTAGTCCATTGATTTAACAGTCCCACCAATACAAGATACCAGAACTGCCAGTTACATCGATAACTTGATGCGGTTTAGTGGTTGTCTTCGTGGTGACACGTGGTCGTGTGTACAGCACACAGGTCACACGTGAGTGAGGTTTTACGCAACTTTTAGCAATTTATTCCAGCAATATCACGGCGGAGGACACCACAAATTGGCTTCACACATAGTACCCATGTCGGGAATCGAACCCGGGTCTTCGGCGTGACGAGCGAACGCTTTAACCACTAGGCTACCCGACCGCCCCCACGTGTCACAAATCAGGCGAAGTTAAACAACGTACAATGTTAAACAGTACATGCAGTTAAATGGTTGACGTGTTGGGCAGCTTCACTCCTGAGTTTCTTGGGCTTCTGTCGTATCCCATACTGAGACACATACCACACGTTGTGGCTCCTTTGGCAAGTGACTTTGTTCGAAATATACCTCTGAATGGGTATCCGGTAGGATCAGATTATAAATGTTACTGTTAACTGACGGGAAGCTTTGGTTGTATACTCCCCAAGGAACTGATCATGAGAATGGTATATGAGTGCACACTGATCCATTGACTGGGGTAATAATGTAGCGCTTTGAGCACGCTTTTGGGTGTGGATTTGGTGCATTATAAATATGCACATTATTATTATTTATTAGTTGGAGTCTCCTGTTGGACCATTATCTCCACTATGTCTGAGGCAAAAACGTCACAGGAATATCTTCTACAGTTTATTTGGTCATCCTGTCGTGGTGTCAAGCAGGCGTATGCACGTGTCCTCTTTGATGTGCAGTGGGCACGCCAGAAACCTATGATTGTGGGTTCGAATCCTGGTTCATCCAGATTATGTTTCTAGGTTTATCAGCACCATACCCGTGCTCGTGGTTTTCACAAAAGTGGCAAACGTCTAAAACCTGCTTCACTTCAGGCTTTCCTCCCTCATAAAGTTGACGCTGTATACAAAGTGGAAAACTGTTCAAAGCGGCGTTAAAACACAACTCACTCACTCGCTCTAAGGTCCAGGTGACGTCATTCCCTTTATCGGACATAAGTACCTTGTTTGCCTAATCGTTTGAGTGAGTGTGCCAGTTCGCTTTGAGCATTGTTTCAATTATTTCACGGCCTTGTCTGCTTAAGTTGGATGCTCAAAGTGAAGCAGCTCGTTGACGTTTACTACTTTTTTGAAACCCACAAGCACGGCTATGGTACAGAAAAACCAAGGATATAAGAACGAATAAAGGATCCAAATCCAACCTCGTACGACTAATTATAAAGGACTCAATCTAAATCACGCAAACCTAATCTAAACTCTTGATGGGGCGTAAATAATGCGTAAGATTCTCCAAGCAAGAAGTATCGGATTTACGTATTTTTCACAAAGTTTTTACTTTCAAATTTGTACGTGGGCTGAACTAATCTTCATGTGCTTTGCGATAGGTTGATTAAGGCCCGGCATAACCGAAGCATTTGGAATAAAATACATATACTCCTCTTTTAGGTCACACAGATAAAATGACAGATTGCAATGTGTGATGGGTGCAAACTCATTTTTCAGTTGGTCTTTCTAGTTCAGAAACAATGTTTGTGTTTCGACAAAATACCCGAAAAATAATACTTAGCCCCGAACATTGGTGAAAAGTTGTTATTTTTTAAACTGAGACAGACACGTAAATGTTTGTCTGGCGTCTGTAAAATATTACGTTGTGCAACAAACATACATGAATTTGGTTAAAAATGTACGCTTGTCATTTTATTCTTGATCTCTGTCATTGTGATGTTTCTTTCAGCTCGGGCCATGGTATCCTAAACTGGAGTACTTTTCCCGCTACCTGGCTCACGTTAACAGCGCTATCAACCCCATGATTTACGCTGGCTTCAACGACAACTTTAAGAAGGGTAGGTATTTGCACCGCCGTGGCGCAATAGCTGCACATTGTTGTAGTCTACACATCATCGTCCCCAGTCTTGTTATGCAGGTGCACTCACAGATTCGGTGCTGCAACGCCATCGTCAATACTTCACGTGTTTGTATAAGCCGTGCATTACCCGTGCACACATACAGCAGATATACGATGTACTTGTGACGCTTTTCTTTTGTCTGTCAGGTGATGAAATGAGGCCGTGTACAGCCCACGAAAATCAAATAAGCTCAACTCCGTGCATAAATTGCGTGCCACCCCTACCGCTGCCTGACATTGGAGCAATGTGTAGAGTAGATTGCCGCAAGGCTGTGGCTCATATTGCAAGAGAAATATTGCCGTTTGTGAGATGTTATCAGAGCGCTCATTGGTCGGAGCAGTTGCTGGTTTCCCTCTTATTGGAACCAGGCCGTAACTTGATTCGTTGGTTAAAAATAGCGACCACACCGCAGAGCGGTCGTATGGAATCACTGGAGATTGAGGAAAGTATGTACATAAAAAACTGTGAAATATTGACGACGATGCAATGCCCGTGCAGCCAAAACTGGTCAGGTTACCTGTGTGTTTGTTTGTTCAAGAACGGTCAGACGCGTTGACCCAGTGCGGTGTACACAAAGCGATTGACAGAACACTTCTTCCATTTTGAAAAAAATGGGAAAATATACATTCCACGACTAACCTTTTTTTAAATACCTGCATTCTCGTGATAGATGCTGACGTGCATATACATGTATGTGTTCCATCATGTGCGTTGCGTTCGTAAAGTAGAGGATTGAAAGGATGGTCTAAATCTAATCGTGGCTGCTTAATTTCACACTTGAGAGCAAAAGCCCATTATTGAAAGAGTGCATGGGTGAAACAGAAGATGAAATTATGATACTGATAAAGAAATAGAACATGCATGGAGGAATCGCACGCAAGATAACAACTGTATTGGGCGCGTTATGCATTGCAAGCTATCATGGCATTCTGTTATTGCATTCCGCGTTCATGCATGGCTGCTGTGTCACATGTACATCACATTTCTCAATGGTTTTAGCTTGTGCATATCTGTCTAAACTACTGCTACTTTTGCCTTAAAATGTATTTGAAAACGTTATATGTATATTGCACCCGCTGTTGATGTTCGCTGGGTTAACATTGCTTTATTTGTTCTGCTTTATTATTCACTGGCGTAATTATTATTTATGATACATTATATATTTATATATATATATATTACCAAAACATGATACTGACTATTTCAATTTCTTGGGGTGGTATTTTGTTGGCAATGACAGGAATACTTCGGTCTGATACGAATTCTTTCTCTGAAATGGAGGAGATTTGTATCACATTTTGTTTTCAAAAGCTACGGAATAGGCAAACTTAATTTTACCTATTCAAATCGTGAAGTTCTCGGAAACAATTATCAATCACATATTATGTTTCGTTCAAGAATAGAATTGAGCGTTTACTCCACAATGAGTAAATACTTGAAGTGAAATGACGTTAAGATATTTTCTTTTGAAGTATGGTGCAAAGGAGGAGAGAAAAAGAAGACAGATTTTATTAGGTAAATCAAGGCGTCTTCTAAACCTGTCTAGTATTTATACTGATATTATAGTCGCCAGAGTGCCCATCTGTTTCTCGGTTGAATAATAACTTGGTACATACACCTTATAGAAACTGTTCCTAAGCTATAAATCATGTATGTATATTACACACCTGGTATAATTATCGCCACTTTCAAAGCCAATTGGTAAAATGGACATTTTGTCTGTCCCAGCATAGCACCACATAAAACGACAAAAAAAACCATCGATCCCGCAACAGCGAAACAACAGCAGATTGCTTTAGTTCTTATCAGTTAAACACCTGGGCGACACAATATACCAGGAAGCGCTCATGAATATAATAATGTATTTGCAACGAAAGGCCATGCGTTACATGTGCACGTTTATCTTAATGCAATATGACATGTTTGTAGCCCAGGTGTTTTAAAATGAAAATTGTGTAGCAAGGTTCTTTTTATCGTGACAATATTTCCGGATAATTGTTTGTCATAAACAGTTAATAGCAGCATGTTGGATCCTTAATGTGTTTGCATGTTTTCAAAAAAGGTTTTCAATTCAATTTGACCATGTCAGAAGGTTTGTCCTTTCCCTCATTTCCTGTTTCGAACGGCCATTGTTACATTCATGTTCGTTGTGTTGGAGTTTTCTTTTTTTTTCACTAATATTCGCACCACATCTACAAAATGTACACTTCACTAAGATGTGTAATATGATGTATCACACTACCTTGAGTAAATTCAACCGAGAAACATTTCATTATTCAAAATTAGAAGTTGCAGTTTTGGTAGAGGGTGCATGCTTTCACGTTTTCATTATCATGGCTTGCTGTTATGTTTTGTCCGTTTGTGTCTGTGGAACATAATCACCTATAAAACATAACAACAACAACAACAACAACAACTACTACTACTACTACTACTGGGGCGGTCGGGTAGCCTAGTGGTTAAAGCGTTCGCTCGTCACGCCGTAGACCCGGGTTCGATTCCCGGGTACAATGTGTGAAGCCCATTTCTGGTGTTCCCCGCCGTGATATTGCTGAAATATTGCTAAAAGCGGCGTAAAACCATACTCACTCACTCACTCACTCACTCACTTCTACTACTACTACTATTACTACTATTACTATTACTTCTACTACTACTAATAATAATAATGTGCATTTATACATCACTCCATGTGTAATAATTATAACCCCGGTCAATGGGCCAGCTCCCTGGTACACAATCCAAATTGCCTTAAGAGGCGCTAGAAGGTTTACAGTCATCATGTCATCCTACCCAGTACCCAATTACTGATAGGCGGACAGAGGAATATTTCGAACAAGCCTCTTGCTTATGGAGACGCCCAGTGTAACAAGTGTTTCAGGACCGAAGCCCCAGAAACTGTAGGGAGTCAAACTGTCAACACTCCATGCGTCATACGTTGCTTAACGTTGCATACTTGTGTGAGTGAAGTGCACATGACCGCGTGTCATCACACGTGGCAAAGAATACACTATGTAACTGATAGCTACCAACGAAATGAATTAGTGTAAATCCGGATGTTGAAATACATGTAAATAATAACAACCTGATTTCCTCGTTAATTGTCAAGAAGATTCAAATATATTATAAAAACGTCAACGTCGGAAAAATAACAAAGTGGGAACAGATTTAATGCCTCAGCCCAAACATTTCTTTGGTAGTTCACTCAGCATAATTAATACATGCTGCTGACAGGTCATGGTACCGTTTTTGACAGTTGCTGATGTAGGTATTTACGCATGCTGATGTGTAGGCTTCCGTTGCCAATAACATAATGTAGTGAAGTACTTACCATACAGATAGGCCATACACGTCAAGCTTACTCTTCCCGTCTGGACGGTGCGTACCTGTCTCGTACAGCTGTTCCCATGCATAACAGGCATAACACGTCAAACGAGATAAAGATACTAAAAGGAACACAAATTAGTGATAACTTATAGATGGAGTGTTACACCTTTGTCACTAAATTTAAGCCAGACAAAGTGTCACATATACTACTCAAAATTTGATAGTGTTTTTTCTGAGCGTCCAGGTGAGGGGATAAATCTGACTAGTCGTTGGGATAAGATGCGATGTGGGCATGACATGCTTCATTTCAAGCAATAATATACCAAAGTAAACATTTTTGTACCTTCTTGTCATCGATTTTCACAAGTATATATACTCTGCCATGGTCACGACCACGACGTAATGGTCTTCTTATGTTGACGTCGTTATTCGTTTATACTGTTTTGCTTTACTTGTGTGACCATGTTGTGTTCCTCTGCATGCATATATATTTCCTACTTAAAGAGGGACTATGCTCCACGGTTTGGTCACTATTCAAATCCTTGATTAAAAATGACATTTTTAAAGCATTTATCAATGTAATTGGGACAGTCATACAACATACATACATTCATGTCATTCAGAATTAAAGGCACGAGTCCAAAATGGATACTTTTAATCATTGTTTTAAAGTGCAAATGGAATGTATTCACGGAGAGACAACTTCATGTGGAAGTTTAAAACACTGCATGAAGAATTGAATTAATCATCAAAATCTTTGGAGCAAGGTATCTCTTTAATGTGGTTTTTTTCCGAGAGGCGTTTGACGTTCTGCATGTCTAAAACGTCATGGAGTAGTATTTCGTTGTGTTCGAGTATATCAACATGTTTCTAGTTGCATGCATATGTAGTTTTTGGTTGCAGTTATTAAAGTACATGCATATACGTAAAACAAATTATTATTAGATTGTTTCGGATTCAGGTAAAGATAATTTTGAAAAACTATTTCAGGGTATTGAACAAAGGAACAAACACTGAGCGGCGCGATGTATAAGATATAAATGATCAAAGTATAGTCGTCAAAATTACAGGGATTTTCCACAATCATCGAAACAAATTTCATTATAAAAAAACTATGCATTCTGTTTGGAAATAAAAACACATTTAAATTTCTTGATTTGACTGAAATAATGTGATATGTGCTTATATAATACTCAGTCGAAAGCCAAGCATTTGGAAAGGAAATATCCTAATTAGGTTGACAAAAGCCCCTAGTGAGTCCCTCGTGGTCAGATAATGCATCTGTTTTCATCGTTGGCATAAACATGACGTAACATAATACAAATGAAAGGCGACTTGTACATTTTCACTGAAGATAGTTCTTAGATGCGGATCAACGCGAAATCCGTACAGTTTCAATATAGTTTTCTGAGTTCTCTTGTGAGGTTTGGGGATAGAGACTATATTGTTACATTTAATGGCATCTGATTCCTTAAGAAATATATAATTAAATGCAGGATTGATATCGTATTGATCGTGTCCTACACTTCATGAATGAAGTTGATCCTGTGACAATTACCTGGTTTTATGGAAGCAGTTGACGCCGTAGTTTCAATGTCTTGTTAATGTGAGTTTTAATTAGACTTGAATATACGTTATAAGAAACTGAACTGACCGGTTGGAGTTATGTACACTGTAAATTAAGGTCAACATGAGTCTAGACCGCATTGACCCTCAGGCAAGGTTGTGAATAAAAATTTGATAAAAGCAAATCTGGCCAAGGGTCAAGTGTTAACTGGTAACGCGAGAGGACAGTGCCCTGGGGACTACAAACAGTCGTCAAATACCACAGAGGTTTACACAGATTCGATGTGTCTATTCTTTTGGCAGGAAGGCAAATCACCTTACAGGTCCTACGGTGATAGGAATGGCCGGTCGTGAGAGGATTAAGAGTATCATTCAATCTTGTGAACTTATGTTAATGCCAAATCGAAACCAAAATCGAAGCAAATGTTGACAAGTGCGTTAAAAGTAACTCAATCGTTTCACTCAGTATCTACATAAATAAATCGTTTTGCTGTGATTGTGTACTGAGACAGAGGTTGGTGTGGGGAGGTGTGACCTCACCACTGTGAGTTAATTAAGAAAATGTTTGTCAATGGTATCGAGTGTCATCATTAAGTGTGCCCATTTATGAGGGGCTGTTCAAAGTTGTGTAAAACCCCATGTACTCACGAGTACACAAGAAGTGCACTGATTATTGGCTACGGAATCTCCCTAAACATGAAGTTGCAATATATACTAACGGAAAAAAGTAACTGTGTTTCATATTAAGTGCACTAAGACAAAAACATTCTGAACTTAATTAATGCATCTTTCGATACATATTCATGAATATTCATCGACTAAAAGGTCTTTATTCACAGGGGGCACTGATGGCCCAGTCGTCTAAGGCGCCGCCATTCGCTGTGCAGAGTTGCGTCCCTTGGGCACGCCAGAAACCTATGATTGTGGGTTCGAATCCCGGTTCGTCCCGATTATGTTTCTAGGTTTGTCAACACCATACCTGTGCTCGTGGGTTTCACCGAAGTGTTAAACGTCTGAGACCTGCATAACTTCGGACTTTCCTCCCACATTAAGCTGACACGCCGCGATATACCTTGAGTACTGTTAAAAGCGGCGTTAAACCCAACACACTCACTCACTCACTTTATTCACAATTCTTGGAAGCATGATATTCACACATGTGATGTTTTAATGTGATTTTTGGTTTAGCCGACAGTTCATCACAAAACACTTTTGTTTAACAGTAAATAACGCTAACGCAATGCAACGGCTTGCTGAAAATCAACGTCTACGCGCTGCAAGCAGGAATGGCGCAAAACGAAGTTACCAGACATTTTAGTGTTTATCGAAACACAATATTATCTCTTTGTATATCTTTGAATCTACAGCAAGGTAACACTCATGACTTCCCACAGGCCGGTCGCCCACGTGTGACGTCACGTCAACAAGACAACCATTCTTGATACCAAACTGTCACATGAACAGGTCGGACAATTCCTGGCTTGAAACCAGTCATTGGCAGAAACGTACGCAACAGTTTAAGGGAGCACAACATCAAGCCCCGACATCCAGCGATACGCCCAAGTTTGTTTCCACGTCATCGTCACGCAGTGTAAACAGTATCTAGCTTCAGAAGACAAGACTGTGCCAGTATACTGTTCACAGATGAGGATTTATCTGGACAGCTCTGATGGTAGTGAAAGGGTCTACAGGTTTCCATGAGAACGTTTTAGCGACGCTTGTGTTACTCAGCGTCGTCAGTTTGGGGGTGGAAGTGTAATGGCATGGGATGGCATCACAACTCATGTTAGAACAAAAGCCATAATTTTAATTGCAATTTTTGAATGACGTACGATACCGGGACGAGATCATTCGAGAACATGTTCAACCCTTTGTGCAAATGCAATGACGGAACGTTACGTTGCAGAAGGATAATGCCCGCCCAAACGACTTTTTGAGGCAGCATAACATGGCTGTACTGCCATTGCCGGCTGTTTCTCCAGGCCTCATGGAACATATCTGGGATATCATAGAACGGCGCCTACGCTAGAACCAGAGCCAGTCGGTAATGCCAGCTGAGTTGAGCCAATCTTTGGCTGGCATTTGGAACCATAACCCCATGGTGATTTCAATAATCTTGTGTCTTCAATGGACCTCAGCTTCCTCGCCAATATCAATGCAAATGATGGTCACACCGATATTGACATAGTTAATTGAGTTGTTACACCACTCTTTTAGGGCGTGTCGCTGTCTCCCGTACCAGGTACCAGGTACCGGTTTTGTCAATGAATGTGTTATGATAAAACATTGATCAGACGAATGACCAATATTATAATGTTAATTTTACTCACATAACATCTAAACCACTTTATATAAAGCACAGTTACTTTTTCCGCTAGCATATGAAGCAATGTCCAAGTTCAATGCAACTGTTCTTGCAGGTAGGTATACAATTGCAATATTTCAATCAAGCTATACTGTCCATGATCAATTTACAACCACTTTTCTTTCTCAAACCTGCAAAACCGAAATGAAACATCTTGAACTTCGTACATCACATATTTGATTTCAATTTCGTTTTTAATGGATATAATGCAAGGATTCGAGGGTAGGTGATATCCACACACGCAAACAGTCGAACATCCGAGAATCCCCTGTGCTATCACGCGCTCAAACGTCAATAAAGTCAGTCAATCACATGCCTTGGAATGGTTTTTAACCACTTGAGATAGAAAACTGTCGACAGCTTGGAGAAGGAACACTGCGTGTTTTGAGAAAATTAACTACGCTATTTCCCTCACACATAATCGGTTAGAGCATGATGACCCCGTTGTTTGAGCGAAAACATTGCCAGCCCACAGTGGAAGAAATAGTTCTATATCCAAATATTTCCATGTTCTTCCCAAGCTTGGAAATATTGCTTTTTCTCCCAGTGCTACATGAGACTGTTTTCATGCTTACAAAACTTCACGATCACAAACTTTATTATTTTTATGAAAGAAAAGAATAGTTGGAGAACTTTTTTAAATCAGGTTTTATCCTGTCATGTCCATTACAAGTGCGTCATCATGTGAGCACACTTTCAAGCGGTCAGTTTACATGCTGAGGCCAGGGAAAGATTTAATTACAAATTTTTTGTACATCTGATATCTTCAATTTGTTTTTACAAGACTGACGAAGTTATAGCTTTCCTGTACTTATGGTTTGATGTCTTATACAAAACGGCATTGTCGTTTACTCTGAGTTTGATTATGTGATAAAAATGTATAATATTACATTGCATGGAACATGTCCTTTCCAGCATATATATCAAATGTGAAAGCTTTGATGCTGTATGTAATGTCTGTGGATATGATTCTAATTTGAATCGTCATATAACGAAAACAAAAAAGAAATTGACAATGTAATCTACACATCCCCCAATTAAATCGGTTATGTGAAACATCTCACCTTTGGTAGGAAGTATATTAATGTACGCATTCCCACATGATCCGAGCGTGGTACAACAACACACGATCGGGTAACGGCTGGGATTTGGTCTTGCCATCTTGAGTGGCTTTGGGTGGTGAAAACGTTCGCTCGTCAAGAAGCCAGAGGCCCGGGTTCGATTCCTCACATTGGTACAATGTGTGAAGCCCTTTCCTGATATCCTTCGCCTTGATACTGTTAATAATTCTAGAAGCGGCGTACGCGTAAAACCCAACTCACTCGATAACTCTTCCCATCCAAGTTATTCGTACTCCGTAGGCATTGCAATCACAAGCTCGCTGTTCCAGCAGGCTCTGGGACTTGAATGTCTGGGATCCAAACACTGGAAGCTGCCCAACCTAAAATTCGATTCTGTTCTTTTTCCAATTTGTTTACTGGGCGTTCCAGTTTTGGACATTCGTCCGAATTTGGCGTGATGACATTATGGTATTATTATTGTGTCTGTTACAAAACGCATACCAGCAAAATGTGTCGTCAAGGAAAACCCTTCACAGTATCAACAATTGTCAACGATATGTGTTTGTTGTAGTGTGTAAACGATGAATGTATGTACATCCGACATTTACAATGCTAAATAGATATAGCCCTTTGTCTCGCCAAGATGTCTCGACAAAAATACACACACACATAGATTTATAAACCATTGACAACGTAAGCGTCGGACCTGTCATGGATACGGAGTCATGAAAAGGTTACTATTTACGTAATTGCATAGGTCGGTGAGGGTAGTGTGACCCTAGTTTGTGTATACAGTTAGTAGCACGTCGTTACATGTATAATTTATAAAGACATGTGGATATTACCAATGTGAATAAGAAATTGAAAATATATTTTGCTTTACCTTGATAAATTGTTTCCATGAAACTATTTTGTGAATGTCCATGTTTTGTTGTCAAATAGACGGTACTATGTTTGTTTTATTTATTAAATTCTATCTAAGTTTAAACGTAATGGTAAGAGGAACCCTGCATACATTCACGTCAAACATTATTCAACTGTTTTTACACGTGCATTGTCTGTTACAAACTAGAAGACCTAGGGTCATCCTAAATACATCACGTTAATCTTGTCGGTATAAGCCTACCATGGCGTGATTCAGCAGGGATGATTACATGGATTATCGAATGAATTTAGTTTCAAAGCTTATGATGTGTTTTGTCATATACCACTGGCATATGGCGTCAAATATATCTATTTCACTACATATTTTAATAATCATATAATTTCATTACAGGATTTCAACTTCTTTTCCGAAGCATCGAGCGGAAGAATCGTTACAACACAATGGTATCTCGGGTTGACTCCTTCCAAAGCTCCACAAACATCACCAAGGTGTAGTGCGTTCAACTCCAGGTTGGGGTCAGTCTGCAGCCATACAGTGGAGATTGTTGGACACACTTGCGTGTGTTGCAACGAAAGGTTGCTCAGTTGTCTACCCAATCAAGACAATCTACTTCAAGACAGACACCAAGACGGCTTATCAATGTTATCAGCAACTATCTCGATTCATGTTAAAGTAGATTTGAACGGGTTCTCATATTATACCACGACAGGAGTAACACAGTCGTAACACAGTCGTCCGCGAGTGGTGATGTACGCCAAGGACTGTTGCAGACCTTCCTTTAATCATATGCCTCTTTGGTGGATCCACTTGCTTTAAATTATCAACACTCACGAAAGACTGACACTGAAATAGATCAAGTATATTTCAACTGGAGAAAACGAATCACGTTATTCAGAGATAAACATGAAATGACCTGTGGATCTGAAGATCTATTCAATATACAGAATGGCTTCATACAAAGCTGGAAGTCCTAAATTTAGATTTTATGAAGGCGGCGGCAACGTTGTTGTTTGTTGTGATCTGAATATCACAAGGTATTCCTTAAACCGAATCGTTGCCGTGTGTGATTTAATTATCGAACAACATTCACCGTGCGATGACAGACTCTCTGATTTACATCAATTGTCTTTCTGCTGTGTGGTGAAGTGGATGATGACTAAGTGGGAAGTGAAGGGCTGTATCTGCACACCAATGCCATCTGTCCATATCAAGAGGCCAATGAGACTACAATGTACACTTTGTACCAATTATTCCTACCAGCATGGCAGTAATGGTCGGACTGCTAGGGTCATGTGAAGATCAGCTGTCAGCGGACGCTCCGCAGGCACACAACAACATATCATAGGGTTTAACTCTACACACCTGTTCTATGGCTATATATAACATTGAATATATCATGTCACATTGTTTTAAATCTATTCAAAATTGCGTTGTTGTTTTTTTAGAAATTTGTAATATTGAATAGTTATATTTTCTGATCTTCAGACAAAATGGAGAGTATACTATTTGGATGTCCATTATATAAAATGCTTGTATCAGTACCAACTTACATGTGTATAAGAACGTGATCCTGATATCGTATGACTTGTATGTTTAGCCTAGCACGACTGTGTAGTTAAAAGATACACTGCATCGTCTGTCATCTGAGCACACTGTGTTGTGTTTTTTGGGATGACGGAAAATATGGTTTGGCGGCTGAAACAAATTTTATTGTTGTGCATACTAGAACAGCATTGATGATATCATCTGTCCATTGTACATTTTGTGCAAGAGCCAATTTGGTCAGGTGATTTTACCACGAACTACCTGATCGTGATATATTTGTACGTCACATAAACTGCATCCTGTACATAAAACCAACATGATGATGCAGAGGTTTTCGGTATAAATACCCCACTACGATCCATTACTGCTGCAATGCATTTGCCCACTCATTGAAAGTTCCTGAACTCCCGGATATTGTGGCAAATGAAACGCAAGAAATGGGTCTGGTGCGAAGGATAATAGGCATGCGAGTGCCGCGATGATTGTCTCAGTAAGCCACGAAGACTCTAAATTGTTATAAATCTCATCAGATCAGGAAGCTGTGATGCTAAAGTTGCCACCAGTGGAGTTGGAAAGTGTACAATATCTCACGATTTGTGATTCTGGATAGATTGTTGTGCGAAAGGGAGAACGGAAAGAACTCTTGATAGAACAGTATTCCCAAAGTGTTGAGATCGACATGAATCATGTGATCAGGGACGTTTTATCCTGAATGTCTTTGTAGACAATGTAAACTGAATATTGACATGAACAGGATATTGAGCAGTTGTCAAATTTTTAGGTTCAACTTATGCTTTGATCATTAACGAATGTTGTGAGATATATTTTTATGTCCCATGCACCACGCACTCTGCAACACTGTAACAGTGGTGTTCACCATGACTTGTACTTGTGTGGAAAATGTTCATCCTGTATCCTCAGTATTGTTGAGAACTAATGACCAATCGCTTTGATATCGTATAAGCAAATGGGCCTGGTGTAGTAGTGCATTGTCAGTGCAGATATTGCTTAGACAGACCATCTATAATATTTTTCGATAGTCGAGTTTCTCGGAGAACGTTTCTTGTGCTAATTGTACTTCTGATACTGAGTGGCCTCTTGTTATAATATCTCATACATTTTCATGAGAATAGGTAATTGGAATATTTCATCTGTGATTGCTTGATTATCGGGTCTTACTGAACACAATTGCAAGTCAAGTGAAAGCTGACTGATCATTGCCTATACACGCCGTTTATACCAAGCCATGGGAGAAACAAGTAAATGTGAATTTGACAGACTCGAAACATGACAATTCAAAATAGATTAAGGCTATTGAATCTGTTAAATTGTATTATATATCGAACTGAGAATCCGGGTTGAAGTTTAAAATACTGAATAACATATTGTAGTTCCAAAGCATTTTACAACTAGATTACTTGCTCTGTTAGGGCTGGTAAGTTTGACAGCATGGCCCTAATCGACCTGTGTAATGAATCATAACATTTCTGGGATCATTATTCTGTTGTAAAGACCATTACCTAAATGCATCAATGTAGTAATATAAATGTATTTTTAATAATGTTGATTTTCAATTTATAATTAATATTTATTTTGACAGTTTAACTGAAACGATTCTTCAAAATGTGTGTGTTGATACGGAAATTTAGAGCATGTAGAAGCAGTACATACCGTTTGAATCGAAACTAAAAGAAACCTACACCAATGTTTTAGGATGAAGTGATGTTAACACACTCTAATCATGAATGTAGTTCGATAACATAATGGCTAGCTTTCATCGTCTCTGAAGAATAGCCCAGTATAGGACAACTGATTACACGAAAGAAAACGAACTTTCAAGTTGCAAATGTTGTTACGATTGTGGTTATATGTCAATGAATAATATGCCTGTTTAAAAACCAGTATAGTTGTGTCTTTCTGTTACTGCCTTTGATAGCGAATCACATCGCAGCCCTAAAGTAAATTCCATTTCCCCTCTGAAAGTAAACTCTGTTTCAACCCTAAGGGTGATGGGATCAAGGCGAATATTTGCCTGTTGTCGTTCACTGGTGGGGTAATGGCATTATGGCCTGTGTCGGCAACTAACGCTATGAATCGAGGGCGAAGAGCACGGTATTGACAACTTTGTAAGGTGGTTGTGACTGCTATTGACTTAGAAGTCAGAGAAGTTGGTCTGTGAGCTATTTGTTCCATGTCGCAGCTGTCGACGAAACTAATGGGTAGTTCTCGACCCCTTTACCTCACGTCATAACTACTGATTTAATATAGTAACGCTGACTGAGACGCGCTGTTCTGATAAAGGTATGGTTACGTTCGGTATGGATGTAAAGCGCGTAGTTTGCGCAAAGTTTTCATTGACTTGCGTGAAGGACACAGTTAGAATTATCGATAAAATAATTTCACAATATTTAAACTGAAGCAGCGCTTTTTAGTTTTATTTATTTATTTATTTTGTTTTTTAACTATATTTGTTAAATGTATTGCAAGAATGTTAGCTCGGACGCCTTTGATACATTGCTGTTTTGTTGCTAAACGCCGCACAAAGCAATAGGACGGTGGCTTGCAATAATGATTGATATTATGAGGAACGACAGATGCCGTCGCTGTCCGATTATACACAATCAACCAAGTCACCGTGTCTGCCCACCCGATCCATGCAGTCGCCCTCACGACAAGCATGGGTTCCTCAGGAATCCCAACGGGGCCCGTGATATAATGAGAAGCGATATCTGCATTATATACTAAATACCATTCAACCAGAGCGTGAGTCCTCCGAGACACATGCAGAAGACAAGCAGACAATGAACTCATTTTGATAAACTGATATTTGGAAGGGCTAGCCGACAGTTAATTGGTAAATATCGTGCATGTGTTTCGAAGATATCTCTCAGGGAATTGTATGTTCCATCGAAAATATCACACACGCTATCATAAATTAAATATGTATATATAGTATATAAAGGTATGTATTTCTTTGAGTACTGATTGTCACGATATGTACTTTATATACTTTTTGTACTGATGGCAGAACTTCTATAAGTTCCAACTAATGCCGATAAGTTTAAACACCTTTGAACTAGTTAATATGTAAAATGTAAACTGTTCCTTTATTTATTTTCCTTTTATTTATTTGCAATGAATTATGAAGAAGGGGGTTTCGGGTTACACGATATGTATATTAGAACACAAATGTTTCAATTGGTTTGATTCGATTTCGCTAATTTCTTCATTCTAGTTCTCCTATTATTCAAAGTGAAATGACCCACTTGAATAGGAGTTTCCTAACATACAGCGTATAATCTTTATTTAAGTATAAACCAAATATACCATCATAACAAAGGAAACACTACTATTATTTCTATGCAAATTTACTAGTCAGTAAGTGAAGGTCAAGTTCAAATATATAGAGGATATTTCATGTGTCGAGTGAAATATGTTTCTCTCACCGAGTGACGGGGAAATAGAGATATTTTTAGGAGTGGCGTAGCCACGAGTAAAAGCATCTTCTTTCCCCCGTCGCGAGAGGAGAGAAACATGATATTTCAAGAGGAACATGGAACATCCAATTCTATTATATATTTTTTGTGTAGTGTAGTTTTCATTACAAATGTAAAACTTTGAAACGTAGGTTCTCCCTACCTAACACGTTTCACCACCCCTTGTAATTGCGAATTAAAAAGTAGTTCCGATTTTGCAAAATCTTAAAAAATATAAGCAAAAGTAATGAAAAAAAGTTGAGGTCACTAAAATGCGTTTTGATACATATGATTATATAAAAAATCAACTTCAACAAAAAAATATTCTTGAAAGCTGCGAGACCGCAATTGGAAGCGAAGAAATACACGTTTGTCATGTAACACAAATGGCGCTTTACAAAAAGAACAGTCTCGATTGAAGAAGTAATTAAATGAGAGATTAACAGTTTATAACGAAACATTTTCAAGAGAATAACAAACGTCAAGAAGCGATATTAACTCCATAAATGACAATCTGTCGTTATTTTGCCTTGTCAATGTGAAACTAACGTAAGTCAACAGTTACACGGTTGTATACGGGCCAGACATTTATGACACATGGAGACAATTTACAGGGAGGTAACTCTTGCATGTCAATAGTTCAGTCAAATGTTATATTCACTGCAGTGAAATATCAAGTATTATGATCACTGCAATGAAAATATAACCTTTCTCAACTTTAGAAGAACTCATTCGTTCACACTGAAGTATGTAATAAACCCTCGTCCCTGGAAACACCATATGAACATGCGTTAATTTTCACACAGTTTGCAACAACGACATATGTTGTATATCAAACATGTCATGGATTTCTTGATATTTCAATACATTTATTTTCCCGGCAATATCTTTATACTACGCAATAGAAACACTTTCTATGGTAATGCGACCTAACATACTCTCCGGAATGAAGGGCCCCGTGGTCCCTCTCCAGATGGCCAGACAGGTCGTCTGTCCTGACAGTTCTGATACCAAACATGCGACGAATCATCTTTAAAAGGCCAATTAGTTGTATGAATTGGTGGAAATCAACACAGTCAGACGAAAGAAGATAAGTTAAAATCCTCACGTCCTTGTGAGCCGGAACCATGCTTGAAACCCGATTGCTTAGCAGAAAGAAAAGACTTAAGTCTGGCGTCTTACAGATATAGGACCATTATGGAAATGATTCCCACAAGAAGTACCATTACCTACCGCCTGTCTGAAACAACGTATCAAAGGATCACTCAGCTTTGGGACCTAACGGAGGGGGTTTCAGCGTTAACAGCAGGAGGGGGATACAAAAATCTGTCTGATGGCTGATCTCCAGATGTTAAGTAATATATGAGCTGAACGTGAAGTCTGTGAAGATGTTTACCACAACAAATAATCTTCAATAAAGAGCACCTGGTGTACTTATAAAGGGGGGATCATGCTTTCTAGACATTTCCTTCACACTTCTGGTTCTGGTAGAAGACACATTATGGACCTGTCAACGATTAACGGTTTGCCTTCTGACATTAAAAATTGTGTTTCTTTTGAAAGGGCATTTTATGGAAAGGTATTAAACTGTAAAATACAGACAAGGAACATCAGTGTGCGTTTACACTTCGAAAGCACATGCTCATGGGATACGGAAATATTTACTACTGGTAATATAAACTCTCTTTAGTAAGCCCTGTAACTGGAATACTGACATATTCATGAGCAACATGTCAGCGACTGAGTGAGTGACTGACTGTAACCACTTCAAGCAATGTTTCTAGCAATAATATGAATTACATAGTGGGACAAGAAGAATGGAGTTCACATATTGTACCCACGTGGGAATTCGAATTGTTCGGCCCGATGAGTCGTATAATACCAGGCCCAGGTGTAACACATTCCTACGTTAGTGTAAAATTTACAACAGTTGGACAATGTATTTAATCAAAGCGTGTAACATTAAGTAAAATCACAATGTATGACTTCGATGTAAAAGAAAGGATATCAATAATCATAACGTGTACCCTTAACGAAATACAAAGACACATGGTTCCTATATATTAAAATGTTCGAGCAGATCGATTGAAATCGACCCTGGTGTATGTTGGTGAATGTCCGATGTAAAGCACCAAGCAAGCGTTTCCAGATAATTCACGGGTCGGAAACACTGATGAATTCTCTAACTTACATTCTAGTTGGCCGGCTTTTGCGGCGATTCATGACATATTTCAGTTAACTGAAGTACACAACTGTTATACTCTGTAAGGCCCCCTCGTGACATAATAATGTAGGTGATATTAATAAGTGTTTTTACTAAAACCAGCACTTAAAAACTGATAACTTGTACCTAAAAGCTTACAACGTTTCAAGTGAGTTCCCTACCAACGACATTTTGTGTACACACTCATCTCTGGCGACAATACTTTGTAAATGATTGAAAATGAATTATTTTGATTTGATAGATCGACCCCAAACATTCCGAGTGTCGAATCACTGAACGAAATGTTTGAATAAACAAAAGGCAAAAAGTTAAAAGGGTTCGATACAGTGACATTTGTGGGATCTTGCCGAATGTTGTCAATTGTATCAGAACAAGGGAATAACAAAATACGCAGTCATATCTATATATTCAGAGCATATCATTCATAATAAGAAAATAGTGACATTCATGCGATCGTATGAATCAATTGTAATTAGATGTGTTTAACTGGTAATGTTATCTCGACAGATTAAGTCTGAGATGACATGTCCTATTCCTCTGGAAGAGTTGTAGCAGTACCCGCATTGCACCTACCCACTGAGGACTGCATCCGTGATCTAGTGGTAGAGCGTCCGCCCGGAGAGCGGAGGGTCTGGGTTTCGATCCCCGGCCTCGTCATACTAAAATACATTGAAAATGGAACTTGTTGTAACCCTGTCTGGCGCTCGGCATTACGGGGCTAAAACAAGGACTGGTCGGCTCGGAGTCAGTATACTGTGTCTGAGTGGGGTATTCATGTTAACCTGCGGCATGGTATTTCAGTGAGCTAGTGCTATAAATCGGCATCAGTCCTGACAAGAACAAGCAGCCACACACACATACACGTGCATGCACGTCGCTACATAAGTGCAATAATCTTAGACGCTACGTTAAACCCAATTTCACCTCACCTCACCTTCCCACTGACCATCCTTACTAGTGGACAGTTAAGAACACATGTATGCTACTAGGGTGACTTGCGTCTATTGTTTTGTATGCACATTGATATCATGGACGGACTTTCAGTCTGTGTCTCATTGTGCATCGGCCACAGAGGATGTATCTGCTGATTAGCGGGAGGCTAAGTTTATTAACCTGACCTCTGTTACCTCAGTAACATGCTATATGTTTCCTAAAATAGTTCCCTATCCTTTGATTCATTTGGAACCCGAATACAGCAT